GGATCTGTACAGTGTAAGTTTACCTTTCTGAGTTCCAAGAGTGTCTGCCAGTGGAGTACAGGAATCTAGAGGGTAACAGGGGCTCGGGACCAAAGACGCCAATTCAATTAATCACCAGCTTGTCAACGATATTAGTACAAACGCCTTAGGGACTGTCATGCACTGGGGAAAAGCCTTATTTCCTTTGTGGCAAGAGAGCGCTGTTGATTGCTAGGTGTGGTCCTCCCGAAACTACCTTGCCTACCCTGTGAGGCCAGGAGGGTGAGCTGTCCTTCCTGCTTCCAGAGGAGGGCTCAGGCCAGGCAGGCTCAGGCCAGCAAGCCTTTGATGCCTTTGCAGTGACACGGGGAACAGTGGGGAATCCCTGGACAGGGTGTCTCGGCAGTCATCATCCCGAGTCTATCATGGAAGTTTGGTTCTGCTGGTTCTCCTTCCAGCTGTGCGGAGCTGGGGCCCTGCACGTGGAGAATGGGTGGGGCACAAGATGGAATTTAAATGTATTCCCGTGTGTGTGTGTGTGTGTGTGTGTGTGTGTGTGTGTGTGTGTATGTGTATGTGTGTGTGTGTGTGTGTGTGTGTGTTTAAACCTGCACAGAAGTTAACCTCTATCCTGTATTGCAGGATATGCCTGGTTAGATGTCTCCCTGTGGTGCTTCACTTCATCTTTATGGAAATGGAATTAGCACCCTCGCTTTGAAGACTCGGAGGCACCCAGAGAATGAGTTACAAGTGTTTCTGCAAGCCGATGCCTTTGACCTCCGAAGTTCATGATTTCCCACAGCCTGCCTCCTTAACTGCTCAGTGAGACAGAGAATGATGCTCAGTTTCCTTGGAGTGCTAGGATCACCTCCTCTAACCGAGTAACAAGGTATCCACGGTACGGGAAACAGAAGCTACTGACGTTTTTTAAATGTCAGGGCAACACAGTCTCATCCTTTATCTGTCAAGTTTTCTCAAATCAGAGGGTCTGAGCTTGGACACTCCCAGTCCCCGGCTGGGTTGCCTCAGATTTTGCTGCTCGCTGAGGGAGCACAGTTTGTGGGAGGACACCACGCCATCCTGCTGAGATGTGTTGGTGTTGACAGTTTCAAAGTCAGGTAACGCTTGTTTCAGGCAGAGGAAATGGCTGTGCTTCCCTGACAGCTAGGGAAGTTCCTATAGGACATGAGCTGTGCTGGAAGAACTGGACAGTGTGGCACCCTGCCCGAGCCCTAGGCCTCTTTGTGTGAGCTTGTAACAACAGTGGCCCTGGGCTCACGCCTAGCGTGTGAAACCTGCAGCTGCACCCCTAACTTGGGAAACTTCTTGAGTTCTTCTATTGTCAGTAGGGTTGACTCTTGTTTCTCTGTCCTGGTGGGAAAGTCGTTCTCCCTGTCATGAGAATTTCACAGTCTGGAGTCCTCAGCCGAGGCCCACCCACTAGAGCCCCAAATCAACAGCTATTTAAACATTGAACACTTGTCCATGTGTGACAAGTAGAATGTAGGCAGAAACACAGCTATTACACAGGCTTCTTGGGACAATGGTCTAAGAGGGATTGTTCTCCCTAAATACTACTTTTTACAGCTTTCATAAATACCTTACAATATGTAGTAGATTTTGGGGTTTCTCAATTCTAGTTCGTCTGGGAGGATGGAAGCTTCAGTTCTGCATCCAACTGGTTGGACAAGTCTCCTCCATTCTCTTGCCAGGCAGTCATGCAGCTGGCATGACCTTTCCATATGGGGAGCTGGGTAGAAGGACCCCCCCTCCTCCACTCTAGGGTAGGATCCACTCACTCTTCCTCTGGGTGTGTGTGTGTGTGTGTGTGTGTGTGTGTGTGTGTGTGTGAATGACCTTTGCCTTTCAATAGCTCACCTGTGGCTCTGCCTCCATCAGCTCCCCACACCACCTGGCTTAGCAAAGGTTGTTTCTTGTACCCCCTCCATGATGGAATGTTAATGGCCCAATCTTTTGCAGGTTTTGTGCACATGATCCTAGGTACTTGATTATTTTCGAGTGAAACAGCCATGGCCACCCTCTCCCCAACTCTTTCATTCCTCCCACTCTCTCTTCCGTGGTGTTTTAAACCTTGGAGAGTATGATAGGGACATCTCATTTAGGGCTGAGTATAAAACAGTCCCTTCTTTTCAGCTCTTTGACCAGTTATGAATCTCTGCAGTAGAAACAGGCTCTTCCTTTAGAGTCTTAGCTTTTGTGGTTGTTAAGGGCAGGTCAAGGGTCTGGCGAGCCCTCAGCTGCCCTGCTCTTGTCACCTCTCTCAGGGAGGAAACTAGTCCTCCTGGGTTGTCGTCCACGACTCCCTTTGCTGGGAGCAATCAGGGGCACAAGTGGAGAGGAACTTCAAGAAAGTCAAGATAAGACGGACTGGTGGGATTTTGAGAAAGAGCAGCTGCAGGGTGTGGGAAGCAGAAGGAAGCAGGCGGTGTGAGGAGGGTTTGCCGTTGGATTTCAGTGAGCACTCCTCAAGAGGCACAAAAATCGGAAAACTTGGTGACAGTATTTCTGGACAGTTTGGGGGGCGCGCCCATAATCAGACCAGAGTTGGGCAAGAATTTTGTATGTTCATGTCTCTGACCTGAAGGTAGAGGTTCCAGAGTATGCGTTTGAGGGCCGCCTGTGAGTTTCTGTGAGAGGGGTTGACAGACAGCTGACTCTCCCCTCTCTTCTCTCTGGCTTCCGGCCTTGTATTCCTGTCAGCCTTCTGTAGCACTGACACCTCGCTGTGAGGGTCTGTGAAGATGTTTTCTGGTCTTTTAAAGTTAGCACAAAATTCTGACACACACTTGGATTACATTTATTTTGTTACCAGTGAAGCCACAACATAGTGCTTTTTAGGTTTGTTTTTGTTTTTGTTTTCTCTGTCGGGGGTGGAAGAGCTAGGGACCTTCAAAAGCAAAAATTCCAAGAGTCCCAGAAGGTCACAGCACAACCCTCCATCTTCTGCCATATCATCTTCTAAATAGGCCAAATCCTGCTGCCCCATTCAACTGCAGAGCCCTTCGTAATTAGGATAGGCTTAATTCGGTGGTGAAATCTTTGCAGCATTGCTTATCCGTAGGCTTAAGCCCAAATCCGCTGCTTTATCTGAAATAAAATTGCTACACCAATTTGTCACCTGCCCAATTTTTTGATTTCCCAACTGTCCTGACTTCAAGAGCTCCTCCTCCCATCCTGCTCCACGAACTGCTTAGTTTTAGGGTCACATCTCCAGGATCACATCTCTTGTGAGGTTTAACTCCTTCATATTTCCCACAGACGTTACCTTCTCAGGGACTCTCTCTGACTGCCAGATCCCAAAGTCCGCACCACCGTCGTCAGTGACAGCCTTCATTTTTCCCTTCTTGGCAGCTGACAAATCTGGCAGTTGCGGTGACATTTGCATGACTATTTAGACAATGTCTCTCTCTCTCGCTCCGGACAATCAGCTCTTCAGGAGCGGGTCTTCTTCTACATCTCCAGTGACCAAAACAATACCTCGCTTACTTCTGTGCTTACGTCTTCACAAATGAATGCCTGAACCCGGACTACCATGTGACCTTTGGTAAAGATTTCAGTGTGCTTGCTATCAGTTTCCTACTCTTCCTGCACAGTCAGTGTTACCTAGTCACGGCCTCTGCTGAGCCCATTTTCTTCAGGGCCCCTGCTCCACCTCGGGCCTCAGCTTTTTTGCGTGTATTCTCTCTGACCGAAGAGCCCCTACCCAGGAGGCTCCTATCCATTGGTCTCTCTCTCTCTCTCTCTACTGAAGTCTTGGTTTCTATTTTGTTCTGCACATTTCTGGACGCCTGCCCTCCTTTTTAACTGGAAGCGCTGTGCGATACTTGGCTGAGCTAACCCAAGCACCCTGTACCCGTACTCTGGGCCTGTCCGCACGCCCCGTGAGTGTCAATGGTGAGCATGCGCACAACAGCGGTGAGCGTTCATTTTCACCACACGCTTGTGGCATTGTCTCATTTCATCCTCAAAAAATTTGATGAGGTAGGCACTAATATTGTCTTCACCTACAGATTAGGTAAACCGAGGCAGAGAGAGTTTAAGTAACTTGACTAAGTTTAAGTAAATTGACTAGCAATAGAGGCCGGACTCAAACCCTGGCAACCTGGCTGCAGAGTCTTGGCCCAGGGCCTCCTTGGACTCGATGACTGCTTTGAAATTTCGGGGCAGCTTCATTTACCAACATCTTCATTGAAGGAAATACCTGGGAGGTGGATCCGGTCCAGATCCTCCTACCCTTCCCTCGCTAGTGTGATGTTGTAGGTAGCTTGATGGTGGGTACACGGGGCTTTCTTCCAGCTCGGGAGTGGTTGATGCCTCAGCCACTCAGCCATTCCCAAGCAGGAGCAGCCGGTTCCTGCTCAGGGGGACGGGGACTGGCACACATAGGTGGGCTGTCGTTAAGGTGTTTAGAAACTGGTGACTGTCGACATTTCTACGGAACACCTCAAGGGCCAGCACGGGAACTCTGGGAGTGGATTAGGTTGCACAGTCTGGGCACCTGGTGCTTTTCCCATGTTGAAATCGGTTCTCCCCCCCCCCCCCCCCCCCCCCCCGTTTAATGGAAGGTTAGAGAGGATATTAAATTTAAGCGAGAATCTGAAGCGTCAAGGGATGGCACAGAAGTGAGTGCCATGAGTCAGGTTCAAGTCTAGCGCTTAAACCAGCAGAACAGACAGAGCCAGGCATTTCTCGGCCACGGCCACCAGGGCGCAGCTGGCTCTTCCGGCTCATGCACCTCTCTGCTGCCCTGTGCCTTCCCCTGCCGGCATCCTTCTGGTCTCCCAACACTGCCGCACATCGAGTTTGCTGCTGGGCCAGCTGCCTCTGGTTTAGTCACCTTCATTACATCTCTCTACTCCTTCCTGCTGTAGCTCACTCTCCTACTTTTCCTCCACCCTAGTTTTTTAAATATCATTTTCATTAAAAAAAAAAAAATTCTTGGTGACTATAATGTAAACGTACTAGAAAGTAATGGGGGAAAAAAAAGACAGCCACAGATGTGTTTTTCAATAAAATTTCTATATATTTAGGCTCAAAGAAGGAATGAAAACAGAAAATAAAGTTTATAGAGAAATAAAGCACACAGTTATGCTTGATGGTGCATGCCTGTAATCCCAGCAGCCAGGAAGCTAAGGGAGAACGATTTTGGATTCAAGGATAGTTTGGGACTATACAACAAGGTCCTCTATCTAAAACCAAACCAACCAAACAAAAGACAACAAAAAGCCTGTTTCCGAAATCTGTAAGATTCAACTATTGCCATATCTTAAGTGAATTAAATAATTTTTATAAATTAATTTTTCGATTCGTTTATTGTTATTTTATGTATGTGAGTGTCTTATCTCCTTGTATATATTTGTGCCATGTGGGTACAGTACCCGCATGGACATTTCAGGGTCCAGAAGAGGTTGTTAGATATACTGGAAGTGCAGGTACAGGTGGTTGTAAACCACCGTTTTGGTGTTGAGAACCGAATCTGGGTGCTCTGCAAGAGCAGCCAGTGTCCTTAATCATTGAACCATCTCTCTGGCCCCTGAAATGTAATAGCTTTAAATATTTTCATTAAACCCCAAATGATTTCAAAAAGAAAACCGAACATTTATGTCAAAAGGCAGTGAAAAAGGAAAATCATATCAACAGAGAAATTGGGAATATGTAGGTTCCCAAAGACAAAGAAAAAAAAAACTGCTTAGAAAATAATAAAGCTAAAACATTGAATAACAAGGCCAATATTTTCTTTGCACATCTAAGTACATAAATGCCTCGGAATTCTGATTAAGGAGTGAGAAAATTCAAATGAAAGTAGGATAAGAACCTTCATGTCTGTGGTGGTTTGACTAGGTATGGCTCCCTGTGGACTCATGTCTGTGAAGGCTTGGCCCAGAGGGCGTGGCACTGTTAGAAAGTGTGACCTTGCTGGACCAGGTATGTCACTAGCAGGCTTTGAGATCTCATAGGCTCAAGCTAGGCCCAGTGCAGCACACAGTCTTCTTCTGCCTGTGGATCAAGATGGAGAACTCTCAGCTCCTTCTCCAGCACCACGTCTGCCTGCGTGCCGCCATGTTTGCTGCCATGGTGATAATGGAGTAAACCTCCGAACTGTAAGCCAGCCCCAATTAGATGTTTTCCTTTGTAAGAGTTGCTGTGGTCATGGTGTCTCTTCAAACAGTAGAGAATGCTGTTTATTATATTTGAATGAAAGATCACCTTAGCTCCACAAACTCCATTGCTTATGGTGCACATGATTAAAGATTACAAGATGTTTTACAGAGATGAAACTTTAAGATTTGTCCCAAAGTTGCCGTGTGTTTTAGATAAAGATGTTTATACCAGTCGCCTGTTGTATATGCGTTTGTGTGTGAACCCCAAGCATTAAGCAACTGGGATGGACCACGGCTTAGAGCATTTAGAATCCATTTTTGGAACCTAAAGAAAAAAAAAAATGAAAGAATACAGTTTAAAAACAAAACAAAACAAAAACCCTCATCTAAAACAACTCATATCTAATTGATGGCAAAATAGCTTTTTTTTTTTTTTTTCCTAAAAAGACATTTAGCCTATTTATTCATCACAAATTATTTGCTTAACTTGCATAAGCATAGGTTTTCTCTTTACCAACAGGGATTAAGTAATTTTGGATAAACAGAAAAATCTAATTCTTTGACATATTAAGCAGAGACAAAATGTACCCAATACCTGCTCAGCTGAAAATAACTAATGAGGTGATTTTAAGTACAACAGCCAACAAGGGCATCCACATGTTCAAATAATGGAAAGAGATTTCTCCAATTCATCTATAGGCTCCTTCAAATTTAGCGGTAGGAGGTCTTGTTAACCCTGGTGAACTCTTAACTGGCCCAGAAGCAAGAGTTCTTCAGTGTGAGTTTAGGTAAATGTTCATCAAAATTGAAACAGAAAAAAACAAAATAACGAATGAACAAACAATAAAAAAAGAAAGAAAAAAAGAAAAAGAAAACCCTGAGAGGCCTAGAGCACTTCCTAGGCATGCTAACACTTACCGCATTTGTGCAAAGTGATTACTGAAAAGGTCTAGAGCCTGTTAAAAATGTTATGCAAAAATGAAGGATTTGCTCACAGAGGTTAGTGACTTTTTCCCCCTCACGCAAAGATTTTTGCAAGTTTGAAACTGGCCTTTTTGTTTTGGTGGGTTTTTGCTAAAGGAAGCCGAAATGAACTAAATTAGTACAAAGTAATCTTAGATTTAAAAAGTCACACTTTTTTTTTTGTTTTAAAAAGATGTAAATCTTTAAAAATAAGCACATACTGCTAAATGGAAGTGAAAGAAAAAAAGATTAAAAATGCAATGAGAAAAGGCTGATCACACAAAGAGAAATAAAATTTCTGCTTAGATTGTCGGGTGTTTTCTTAAACAATCTTTTTTGCAAATAAAAGAAAATTTACAGATGGGTAAATGGACTTCACTAAATTCAGTCAAGTCAAAACTGATCAGAGAAATGAATTCACACTTAGTCCATAAAACAGAATTTTCTACAAATTCTTTCTAAAATGAATAAGCTGATATATCATAATTAATCTAAAAGCTACTTCATTTCTTTAAATGTTTCCTTCATATGTCATGAAAGGAGTAAGACAGAGAATGGACATCCAGAGGCTTGGGCTGCTAGATCAACGGAGAGGTGGGTGAGAGCTAAGTAGATGATGGATGCTGCCGGCTGGATAGTGATGGCAGACAGATGATGGATAAAAGGCGAGAAGGAAAGACGACAGTGACCTCGTAGCAGATGCACAAGGAGAATATTCAATATGTGTTGCCTACGGGTGCATGGCAACATCAGAATTTTGATGTCTGCTTCAAACTGGTTGGTACTTTTCAGGGTCAGGGGTTGAGTTCTACTTTTGAAGAATCATGTTCTACTGCTTTGGAAAGCGAAGGGGTGTGTGATCAGGAAGCTGATGTTTGACACCGTAAAACACCCGGATCTGCTATAGGGCTCACTCAGTGTGTGTGTGGGGGGGAGGTAACTCTAGCACATGCACTGGGGCACAGTGTTGGACAGGTCCTGATGCCACCTCCTTGTCTGCTCCTAGGTTCAGCCTTCCTTCCCTGTAAACGGACACCTTGAAAGCAGCACAGCCCTTTTGCAGTAAGTGGCAAATATACTATCCCGTGCCCTGGAAGGCTGGCGGCTGCTGCTACAGCCCTCAGCAAATCCTGGCAGGTGTTTTTTTTACTCTCCTCTATTTCAAAGATAACAACACAGTTTCGTCACCGGGAGCCCACGTGCAGGATGTCAAGTGGGAGCATTTGGGCAAACCTCAGCCTCACCTGTCCTGGATGCTACAGTTCACCAGTCTCACAAGCACAGATTCATTGGCTGGAGGCAGAGCTTGGGCACAAGAGCAGCTGGATCAAAACCACTAGCTGCTTCAGAGCAGGGTTCAGCCAGCTGCAGCCGCCAGGCACACAGTGGCCTTCCAGGCAGGCAGTCTGAAACTCTGTGTGTCTTTTTCACCCAGGTCATCCAGCTCACTCACCCATCATCCTTTCCTTGTTTTCTCTGTCCCCTCTTCCCTCCACCTCTCCTTCCCCATTCATTTCTTTTTCCTTCCTTTGACAAGGGCTTGTCACATAGCCCAGGATGGCCTGGACTTCATTATGTGGTTTAAACTGGCCTTTCATTTATGACCATCATCTTGCCTCAGTCTCCTGAGCGTCGGTACAATCATTGCTTGTGACTTTCCCTTTCCACAAAGGCCTCCAACCCCCATTCTTGCTGTCATATGGTAGAAGTGAGCATGTGCAGGAACAGAAAGAGCGAGGAGAGATGACTTTCCACCCCGACACGGACCTGGGCACTGCTGCCTTTGGGGACATGGTAACAAAGGCCTCTTGGGGTCTGGAGTCCCTTCATCTGTGACAGATTACGTGGGTGTGGTTTTCAGGCCAGCAGGGTTTGCTCTGTTCTAAGCTGTGTTTGGGAGGCTGGTTGGCTCCCTGGAGGTGTGCACAGGGCCTGGGGACCTCTGTGTTGAAGCACTGAGCCTGCCGCTCCCCACTCCTCCCTCAGATCTGCTGGCCCCTCTGGTGCCAGCCACCACGAAGCCCTTCTGGTTCACTCCTCTACTTCCTCTTCCCCCTTTCTTCTCCATTTTCTTTCTTTCCACTTTACAAGTTCACCCTCTGGTGACTTTTATCTTCTTTTATGACTCTTAATTACTACTTTGCACTAATGACTCATAAATCTGTCTGGGATCCTGCCCTCTTGTCAATTCTGAGCTAATTGCTTGTTGGTGAAACCCTTTGACTGCCTGGCTGCAAGTCTAAAAGCGAACTTGCCGCACTCCTTTGAAGGATTTCCCCCGCTGCCTATTGATGTGAGAGGCGACACAGTCCCCCACTCATCCAGAGGACAGCCTTGAACTTACCTGGCTTCCCAGCTGCCTCTCCTTCACCGAGTAGCAGGCACCGTGTGACCTGCCTTTCCTTCAAAGCTATTAGCTTCATCATGCTCACGCCTTTGCCACTTCTTGACAATTACCAGAGCTCTCCGCTTCTCTCTCTCTCAAGCTAATTCATATCATAGCCTTTCTCAGGCTATTGACTTGAGAATATCATTCCCACGGCCACATTACCTTCCAAGGCCTGCCTGCTCTCAGGATAGAGCCCGAGTTACATTTACGACTCTCTGTGTTCTAGTTCAAGCTTGTGTCCCTGGTTTACTCTCCACATTATCCACGTTCTAAGACATACCTGAGGCTTTTCTCATCTGCCCTGTACCTGCTGTAATTTTCCCTCTATGTGAAATTCCCTTCCCCTTTGTCCATATGTCCTGAAGTCATCCATTAGCTGGTTGTTATCTCTGTTACCCTCCATAGGACTGCACCGTGCTGTGCCTGGTCTGGTACTTGCTCCTTGCGTCACTCCCTTTTTAACCATGTATCATTGCATTCTAAGTCCAATGAGGTGGAGGTTTTGTTATAACTTATTTTTGTCAATGCCTGGTCACAACTGTTAAATAAAATGTGAATGTGCATCTCACTGTGCCCTCTCCTTTCTTTTATCTTTACTCTCGGAGAGGAATGAGTCTAATAGTTTAAATATGCATACACACAGGTACATGGACACACACACACACACACACACACACACATACAACCCCTCCCCCCCCACACCTGTGATCCGCTTGGTACACCTTTAGTAGAGAGTGCACTAAAACACATCTCACATGCATTTTAGGATCTTTCTTCAACAGTCCAGATATGTTCAAGTCTGGTGGCACAGGGACATTTCAGCTGACACCACATTTGGGTAGTTGCTCAGTACTTATGTGGCTTGCTAAAACCCACACCGCTGTCCCTGCTTGCCACTGTGACTCAGTCAGAATTCCTCCTTTAATCAGTTCCCTATTATGATGTTGAGGTTAAGAAAACCAGAAAGCATAAGGCTGGAAATTAGATCCTATTTGGAAGCATAATAAAACTACAAATGGGATAGTCTACTGTTTGTTGAGTATGAACCAGTACAGCATTAAACACTTTTAAGCCCAAGTTCATTTCCTTCTCACGGGGTTATAAGTAAGTCGGTGTTTTCTCTCTTTTCAAGACACCGAGAAGATTTGAGCTGGGATTTGAATCCAGTCATTAGATTTCAAAGCCAGTAATCCCAGTCTTTTTGAATTGGTCATTTTGTAAAGTTCAATGATAGAAACAAAACATGCTACGTGCTCTGATAAAGTCCGCCTCCATGTTGGGGACAAAGGACTAGAAAACACCATAGACAAGCAGACAGCTCACAGTTCTTCACAGCGTCTCAATGTGTAGTCCCCAGGGACAGAGGGTTGGTGTTGTAGTCAGCTGTCTCCATGCCTATCTCTTGCTAGACTTTGGACTCTTAGCGGGCATGAATGAGCATTATTTGCTAGACTTCTGACTCAGCCTAATGCCTTGCTGCAAGTGGTGGGAACATGGAAATGTAGCTGTTGATTTGTGCCAAATGGGTAAATGGGGAGGGATGGTAGTGATGGGAGGGGCTTTCCCAGAAAACAAATGAATCACAGCAAGGCAGCTGTGGGCCAAGTCACTGGAAAGGATCAAGGAGAAAGAACTCCTGAGGCATGCATAAAATTGTAGGGTTCCTCTCTCCCTTCCTATTTTCTTCTCCTCCTTGAATTTTGGGCCTGGTAAAAGTTTATTTTCTAAGCAATTAAGATTGGAGCTCCTTCCCTGGCTCCCTATGGCGTCCAAATCACTGCACTTGCCAACATCTCTCAATCTTGTCTTTTGCTCCTCAAGTCAACATGCAAAAGGGATTGCCCACAAAAGCAGCTGTAGTCCCATAGAAAGCCACAAGTGGCAGCCACACATGTTCTTAAAACTTTTAGTACTGGGCCACGTGGGGAGGGGCACACCTTTAATCTCAGTGCTGGGGAGGCAGAGGCAGGTGGACCTCTGAGTTTGAGAACAGCTTGGTCTACGTAGTAAGTCCCAGTACAGCCAGGGCTATGTGGAGAGACCCTGTCTTAACACTGTCCCATCCCATCCTGAACTTTCAGAACTACTTGCTAGTACTCATGTTTCCAAAAGTAAAATTAGCTGCTATGGTTTTACATGTGGCTGTTCCCCAAATTTTCACTGGGGAAGCTTGGTTCCCAATGTGGGTGGGGTTAGGGTATGGTGAAGCCTTGGAGAGAGGGCTTGATTGGAGGACCTTAGGCCATTAGAGGATACATAATGTTAATTTTAATTATAGTTAAACTCAACCCAACATAGCAAAATATTTCCATTCTCATCATATTAATACCAAATTATCAACCAAGCATTTTACATTGCGGTGAGCCATCGTTAAATGGTGCTGTGGATTCAGCACACACAGTACGTTGCGGTGTGCATGAGGCTAATGTCCTGGCTCTGAGGCCACATGTAGCTGGCAGCTACAGGAGCAGGCAGTACCTTCCTTAGGAGGTGAAACTGAGCAGCCCTCCTGTGTAAGTGCTGGAGGGGGGGGGTTGTGGCGGGAGATTGCTGTACTCTTGAAAGGGCGAGAAACTAAGGACAATTTTTTCCTGGGACCCAGGTGGGAAAGACCGCTTCTTAACCCTTTACAACCCACGTTCCCTTCTGTAAATATAAAGAGCCCATAACCTCCTACTTGAAAATGCGCACCAGCAACTTCCATTTTTTTTTTTTCACAAGAAGACATCCTGTTGTGGGGTTATGAATTCACTTTTGAACTGGCATACGTCCTCTGTTCCTGCACTGAGAGTCACGGAAGGGGTTAAATAGACATTCACAGACAAGGTGGAAGGTGATCTCATACCATGTTGGTGAACTGGTCCTCACAGGACATTCGGATTACTTCTGCTGTGGCAGGGCTGTTCATCGACCAAATTGGGGGCAAGCCTCTCTCTTTGCGAGCTGCAGCCACGGCATCAGCAATAGCAAAGAACACAGAAGAGCCCAGAAACATTCCAGCTTCGCCGAGGCCCTGGAGGAAGGAGAAGATAGGGAAGACAAAATGAGAACTCTTAGAAACTTGGTCTCAGACAGGGATGGGGACATGGGGGCAGGGGAGCTGGCCCAAACTGACTCAGTACTTCTGAAGGGTTCGCCTCCTTTTGGTCTTTGTGTCCTTGCAGCAATCTTGTGGGTAGACCAGTAAGCCCTCTGACAGATTCCAGGCTGTTTGCTGAGTTAAGTCCAGTGCCTGAGCCATGCAGGGGTGCAGCTAACGCTTGCTCCACAAATCCACCAAGGACTTAGCATGTATTTTTTTGGTTGCTTCTTGCCTCTTCCAAATCATAGCCTACGTGGGATCATTCTTTTCTCAAGATGGTGACCTTTCCAACCACCCTTCAAATCCATCCCAGAACAGCCTGAACTCTGCTACAGGGCCAGTTTCTGTTTGTATAGGAAGCTGGTTGGGCTTCAAAGGAGCCCCATTCTGGTGGAAGATTGGCCAAGGTGGTAATCCTGATGCTGGTTATGCTTGCCAAACAATAAGAACCTGGTTAAGACCTGGCATGCCCATGCCCAAGGGGACCATGTGGTTGTAGCTAAAGCTACCGACCATGCCAAGATGGCTTTTAAGGGATGAGGAGTGCAGAGAAACACCTTGGCAATGGCTGACATTCTTGGTGGGGCCCCTGCAAAGGATTTATCTTTCTTAGTCCTAATTAAATTAATGACGGAAGTTCAAGAGCTTTCCCAAGATAGAGAGTACTACAATGAGTCAAAGCTTTGTCAAGGCACACCAGTAGACTCTGATGTGTTCCATGGAGGAGGATGCCTGCCATTTAAAGTCTATGAGTTAGAGGTCTCACGGGGGAAAACTCAAGCATCCCTTACTACTGTGTTGACATGACACTCACATATCCCGTCCAGAATGGAAGTCACTGCCTCATATGTTGTGGGGTATTCTCCTGTCTGCCTGAATAGGCTGATTCATGCAGCAGGCTGCCAGGCAGGGGGTAACTGAACTCTGAGGGCTATAGGCAGCCTTTCTCTGATGTCTCTATGGGCTCTAGCAGCTCTGAGGAGGGGACCAGAACCAGTATGGCCAGCTCTGATTGAACATATGTCCAAGTAGGAGAAAGATGCCTGAGGAAGTGAGTGAGCACAACAAATAAAATGTGCTCTCAAATGAGACAACCACGGTCCTCCGGATAAGCTGAGGAAGTGGAGGTTGCTGTTCCTGAAGAAGTGACGTTCACACTGATGTAGGAGGTGAGAGGGTGTTTGCCAGGTGAAGAAGCAAAAGTCCCAGGGAGAAGGGTAGTGTGAAAGTTTGTGTGTGAACTTGATGGGCTCAGGCACCCATGCATTTGGTTAAATACTGGTGTAGGCAGTGCTGGGAAAGTGTGTTGTGCATATGATTAACACTGACTTTGAGAACCGACTGGCTTTGATAATATATGTGAAGTCCCTAAGAGCAAAACAAGTTTCTCCTAAGTGATTCTCCCTCAGGGCACCAAGCACAGACCATATCTGACTTTCTAGCCTGCTGCCCTATTGCCCTGAAGATCTTGAATTTGTCATCTCTACAACTATGTGAGCCAATTCCTTAAAATAAATCTGTGTGTTTGTGTACATACATGTATATATACACATATATGTGCAGATCACATGCTGATATACATATAGATATGTATGTATAGCACACATGTATAACATGCACATACATGTATATACACATACATACATGCATATACACATACAGTATCACACGGTATCTACAGTACCCAGATGGAGCCCATTGGTTCTGTTTGTCTTGAGAACTCTGACTGATACAGGCAACATTGCAAAGGTGTCAAGAAAAGAGCTGGCTTCATCCAAGGGGCTGAAAAAAGCTATATGGCTTAAGTAAGAAAGAATGGTATAAGAAGCCTTGGGAAAAATTGGCAGGATGGACTATGCAGGGCTCTGGAAGCCATGCTAAGAGCAGTATCTTATTATCAACTCAAGGGGTGCCACCAAAAGATTAGCTTTCCCCTTTGCCTGGTATTCTGTGGTTAACTTGTCTTAACAGATCAAGTGTGCCTTAACTCACATGATATGCCGAAGAAATCCTTCAAGCACTAACTAATGCTGAAAACTAGCTGCTAGAGAGGGATCTTGGTGGAGAGAGGATCCAGGGCCTTTGAAGACATTATCAGGTTGCCCATTGCTTCACCATCCTGGTCCAGCCAGGTCTTCAGGCCTGCCTTCATCAACAGTTGGGTCTCCTTGGCAGCAGAAGGCAACAGGTTTTCATGCTATAACCCTTTGCCCTTGATGGGCCAGGGTGATGGAGATAGGCAAAAGGGATCTTGTGTTTCTATATAGTCATGACATGTAGCCATGACGGGGCTATGTTATGAGAAACATGTCACTGAGCAGGTTTGCAATTCTTCAGCTGCAAAAAAAGGGCAGTTACAAGGTCACCAACTTATAGAGCCTGCCATGTTTGCCTCTGCATAGGTGGTCCATGAGACGTTATCACACGGCAGATGCTAGGACTCATCTCTCTCTTGGTGCCGATGAGTCTTCCCACATGTGTTAGACTACTTATGCCTCCTAGCAGCTGGGGGAGTGAGTGCGCGGCACAGGCTTAGCTGGCTACAGTGGCAGAATTGGGAACCGGTGGAGGTCTTCAGGTTTTGACAACACGGCTTAGGCCTCCCACACCTCAACAGGATGCTCCTGAGAGAGCAGAGTGTCTAAGCCTGGGACAGGGAGACTGACATTCTAACCAACCAAGAGTCTCCATAATCTTCCAGAGATCTAAGTGTATGCAGCTCTAAGGTTAACTGGGTCCTAGGAAACTGCTCAAAATCCGGGAGACTGGCAGTGTGAGCTAGACCCATCTTCTTGATTTATGAGGAGGAACTAGCCTATCCACAGAGTGTTGGGCTGGCGACTCGCCGCCATCAGATCCACAGAGAAAGCAGTGATGATCAAAGGCTCCTTAAGGGGCTTTCATCAGGCATGGTTGTCCAGCATGGCCACCAAGAAAGCCAGGATGAGCGATACCACTATCTTGACCCAAAACAGAGATTGGGTCTTTTATGGTTAAGGCTAACCAGTTAATTCAGGTGTTTGCAAGTATCTGATGAATAAATGAAAGCGTGAGTTAAGACGGTGACAGGGTCATTGCCTAATCTTCGTTGTCAACCTAAATGGATTTAGATTCACTTAGAAAACTGGTGAGGTACATCCTTAGATATGTCTGTGAATGCTTTCCCAGGCAGGATTAACTCAGGGGGTAGAGAGATCTGATCTGATCAGGTTGCCCCATCCTGCGGGCTGGAGGCTCAGGCAAAATAAGAGGGGACACAGGAGAAAGCAGACAGAGTCAGAACCCCCATCTCTCTGCTCCCTGGCTACCGTGATGAGAACCTCCCTCCCTGCCATGACAGCGTGGATCTTCTGAAGTCACCATTCAAAAGCAAATCTTTGGCTCAGTCCTTTCTGTCAGGTCTCATCGTCAAGGGCATGCAAAGGAGACTAACACATCCAAGTGACATTAGCTTTAAAGACGCTGACTTTAAACAGGCCGCTCCCGGCCAAACTTCCTGCATGGGTTGCTACCTTTAACCTTTGCTTGCATTTCTACGAAGCCTCTCCACTTCTGTCGTCACATTTTTGATATGGAAACTGGGATGTGGGTAACTTACAAGGATGGAATTGGTTCACACTCCCAGACTTTATCCCATGCCCTACTGCATGCAGTAGAGGTTCCTCCCACACAGTGGGAGAAACTGGTTCCTATTGTTTGAACATGTCTGCCTAAGCTCACGTGCTGCCAGCTTATTCTCTATACGTGGAGAGGTGGGCCATGCAAGAGACTGCTAGGTCATCAGGGCTGACCTTCACGAAGGAATCAGTGTCATGGCGGGAGAGGGTATGCTCTAGAGATGAGCCTGGTCTGTTTCTCTGAGTGAACCTGCGCTGCGCCTCTTCTGCCGTGGTACAATGCAGCAAGAAGTCACCGCTGGATGTGGCTTGTTGCTTTTAGACCTTGCCAGCTTGGAGAAGCAAAGGCGTCTCTAGTATTCTGGGATAGCAACACATAACAGCCGAAGGCACCAACACCTGACCTTTCCTGCCGCTCGGGTTACAGCGTGAGCTCCCCGCCTATTGCCCTGCTCTTTTGTATTAAGCAATATGGCAGGTGTCTACCTGTCCTTATTATGCAGTGCTTTCTAGTTGCTTTAGATGACTCCCCCTTCCTTCTGGTTGGCACAAGGCAACTATTGGGCTTAGGTATGCACACTTCTGAGGAGAGCCCTACACTGATACTGACATTTTGATCAAGGAGGGACAGGATATGCAACAATGGCTCTACATGTTTATAAGGGAGCTGGAGGATTTACTTATTGTTTAGTGACGTCGTAACAATGTGCCATCATTGCACCATATGGTGTCCAGGTGTTTGCTGTGAGGGTGCTCATATAGATAGAATCCTGCCCTGGCAGTCGTAAAATCATACAACAGGACAGGTACACACAGTACATAACACTTGGTAATGAACAACTGTGATTTGGCGTATGTTTGCCATCTCCTTCCTGCCAATTTAGAATACACATATTTATTTGAAAAAGCTGACTGTAAAATAGAATGCAGCAGCCTTTGTGTTTACTGTGTTCCAAGTACGTACCAGGGGCCATGCCAAGGGACTGGTGTACCCTTTTTAAGTTTGTCTAAGATATGCTGTGGTATTCATATTGAATCGCCTAAAATTTTTTGGAACACACCTGCACTGGGAAGCAATAAGCCATTGTGCTGGATGGAGGAGTCGTGCCCGAGACACATGCTGAAGCCCAGTTTATCCACATATGTGAATGAAGTTTATTAACACTATAGACTCAAGAGGACGATTACCTCTCAGGACCAAGCACCATGGCTAAAGAACAGCTTGGCAAGCCCAGCCCTTCAAAAGAGGTTTTCTCCACTCTCCTATGACATGGCCTCAGTAGGAACAGTGCAAGGTAAGGAGAAGAGGAGGAAGCTGGGAGACAATGATGGATAGTGTTCTGTCTCAAGAAGTGTCTTCTCACCTACACTTGTCTTTCAGTTGAAAATAAACAACTGAACTTGTGGGCCATTGAGAAAGTTGTGAAGTACCATGTGGCCTTTTTCTGGTGGCTGTGAAATTGCACAAGGTGACAGTTTCTCGAGTTTGGCAAACCAGTAGGAGAAGTCCAATAAGTCAATGAAGGTAAGAGCTAAAGAGGTCCTTCATTGTCTCCAGCAGCGCTGAGGCCTCTGGGTGCTCTGGGGACAGCTGTTTAAACAACTCGGTGACAGTGAAGGGCAGATTAGAGTTGAGAAATGAGTAGCTTATATGCTATGTTAATATGCTTAAATGTATTGTGATTACTAATAAAGCTTAGTAGTGTGAAACCGACTCGAGTTCAGAACTACACTTTGGCCTTATTTGCATTTCTCATTTCATCCCTCTCATCCTCTCTGGGCTTCTGCACAATACAAACCAGTTCTCCAGGTCCGCCCATGGAAAGCATCAGCATTACTGTTCAGAGGAGGATGCTAATCCAGCCTTTTTTTCTTTTGTGGTACTGGGGATGGAAGGTAGGAGCTTGTGCACACCAATCAAGCTCTCCGCCTCCGAGCTACACCACCGCTCCTCGATCCATCTTCTTTGGTTAATTGTTCAGGACACATACAGGTGGCAAGCTGAATGAAGCCTGGCCACATATACTAACCTTAGAAGAGTAGATGGCTTTTGGGTTTGGGGTTGGCGTCAGCAGTGACACGTGGAATTCTTCTGGGACATCGGTAACTGAAGGTATTTTGTACTGGTTTGGACCACGGGTGTATAGGACTCCTTCAGGTGAATATTTCAGTTCCTCTAGAGTATAAAGTCCAACACCTTGAACGAATGCCCCTTCGATCTGAGACACAGGAAGAAATGTCACTTTTTAAACGATGCACTGACATTCCGAGCAGCAGCAAAGAATGTCACTTTTTTTTTTTTTTTCACATGACTGAGTCTTCCTGGAGTCAAGGTCTCTTAACTCCCTGGAGACGTGTTCTACCTGCAGATGTAAACAACGGCTTCTGAAACCCCTGGGTAGATTTAAAAAAAAAAAAACTACCAGGACTTGCTGCAAAAACAATAGCGCTCTTCTTTGGTGGCTGGGCGAGTCATTTGCATAGTGGTGACTTTAGAAACAGATGTCTGGGGTCCACGCTTGTATCACATGATTTGTACCCTCAGATCACCCGATGAATGGAAAGACAGCTCTTTTTTCCAGATGCTGAGCGTCCATTCTGAGGATGGCAGCAAGGTCTTGGATCTGTTCTCTCTTGGGGGAATTTCCCAGCACACATCTTTAGCAATGGGGTTCTTTTCCATGATCTGTGCCCCCTCAGCCTCATTCCCAAGCATGATTCATGTCTCGGTTCAATAGCTGTTTGAATTGAGTCTAGCTCCATGAAAACGAGTCAAGGAAAAACAAAAACAAAAAACAAAAACGACAGTGTTTTCCAGGGGACTTGAATTTGATTCCCAGCACCCACAGGGTAACTCAAAACTGTCTGCAATGCCAGTCCTAGGGATCTAAAGCCCTCTTTGGCCTCAGTGGGCTCCAGGCACACACATGGTACACAGACATGCATGCAGGCAAAACATCCATACCCGTAAGATTTAAAAAGAGGAAAAAAAAGTACACGTTAGGAGCTATAAATGTCTACAAATGTTACGCTGAAAGAGACGTTCAAACATTGCACTTCTTCCTATTTTAGTGCGATGAACGCTGGTGTTACATTAGAGCCACAGTGTGTGGTTCTTTCCTGTGGAGTTAAAGACACCCCCCTTCTGCCTCTCTTTCCCTCCGCTCCCTCTCTTTCCCTCTCTTCCTATCACGATCCTGATGCTTACGTGGTTTCAGTTCCCACCCCTCCTCCCGCCACTTCCAAGTATATGACTTCTGCCCTGGCCCTGAAGTTTGGAGCAGAGTTCTTGGCAGCTTCCCTGGGATCTCTCACAAGCAACTTGCAGTCAGCACACCCAGGTGGACCCCAGGCCTCTCTCTTTGAAGTGTGCACTCTTTTATTTGAATTTCTATCCCTTGGAGAACATTATTATGTATAAAACAATGAAAAGAGAAGACAGTGAAACAATTTTAGAGAATAGAAAAACAATTTCGTGATACCCGGAAAATGGAGTTGCTTCTATCAACGGTATCAACGGGTGAAAACGTGGTTAGCATTTGAAGTATTTGGATACTATTTCACAACAAGGTGTTGCCTACCTGGCCTATGTCCACGGCAGGGTTTATACTGAAAGATCCATCCATAACAATGTCGGTTCTAATGTTCTGTGGAGAAAAAAAAAAAAAAAACAACAATAAAAAAACATGGTTGTAGTATACACTTCGTTTTGTAAATAACAAATGCTCTCTTTGATTAGAGCATACAGGTGATTATGAAATGCCATGACCAAGTTTTACTGTTGGTAAAGGTTCAAAAAAATACCAACCACGTTATTGATTGTTTTAATTAAGATGCTTTCTTTTTTCTTAGGATAAATACAAATCAGGGATTATTGATCAAGTGATGACCAAAGAGTTGTTGACATGGAGCCTACTAGAGTTTTTAAAATTCACAAGTACCCGAGATTACAAGTACATGATATTAGCCCATCTTCCCACAAAATTGAGGCTGTGGAATTTCACCTTGCTTAATCCTAATGTTATACAGCCACTTGAAATAATGGTTATGGAGATGAAGCAATAAAGTGTAAAGTGATTATGACAAGCAACAGAGTGAAGAAAACCAGGCTATTAAATTATATACACAGACGAGAACATTCACATAAAATTCCAAAGAAAAATATTAAAATTGAATATTTTAAAAATATATAACATGCTTTTTTAAAAATAGTAATATTACGGAAGAGATTTTAAAAACATGTTTTTTTATGTTTTGAAAATTTGTAGCAGGGGTTGTTTATAGGATTAATAAGTCATCCTGTGTATTGTTTGTTTGTTTTGTTTTGTTTTGTTTTTTTGAGACAGGTTTTCACTATGTATCCTAGGTTTGCATGAAACTATGTAGTGCAGGCTGGCCTCAAGCCTACAAAATTCCTGTTCTATCGCCAAGGGGATGAAAGAGAGAAAACAAACAAACAACAAACACCTAGCTGCTTTTTTTTCCTTCTGTCTATGAGGCCTGTGGTTGATGTTGTGTGCAGTGCTGAACTAGCCCTGGGGGCCTCCCAGGTGTCCCTTAAGGCAAAATTTTCTTCTACAGCTTTGCTTCTTATGCTCCATTCTCTCCTTCCAGTTTCTTTCCAGGAAGACTGGTAATGGAGAACCTCTTGTACCTTTTGCCAGAAAACGTTATTGACATCTATATTCTAAAATATTTCTAACAGCAAGTATACCCCCTCTTTTTTCACATGTATTTCTTTCTTCTTGGCTGTTAGTCACTAGCTTTTTTATATTCTCCTGTTTTGGAAATAAAAAAACACAAGTAGATGCATTTCTTTGGGGGGGTCTTAAACCCCCACATAGAGACAAGATGTCCCGTTTGGTGGATATTAGGGCATTCATTTTTTTTTCACTTGTGGGCTTATGACTTTTGAGTAGCAAGCTCATGCCAGGTGGGGTCTCTTGTTTCCTCCCGGCCATTCCACTCTAATGGTTTGGTGGTTGCCATTGTGTTCCTTGGTTAGATGGTGGGTTTATGGTTGTCATCTGGTTCCTTGGTTTGACCAGATCTTCCATTAGAGGCTCTGGACTCTGTGTCCAAGGGGACAGTACTCCTGGCTGACCATCTTTTGATTTCCAGGTGGCCATTGCAGCTCTCCTGAGACCCCAGGATAACCAGGAAGCCCAGCATCACCACAGCGAGAGTGGATTTCAGCCTCTTTGCATTGCAGAGCTGATCTGGCTGCCTTGGCCTGTCTTCCCTCTTGGTCTGGCTTTTCCTCACATGTATGAGAGTCCTCTCCACTGCTGAGAGAATGAAGGTTTATAGAGCCTATGTCACCATCTCAATGTCACTAGGCTCGTGTATGGCACCGCACAGCTGGCCACGTCATGCTGGATTTCAGACCCTCGGGGAGAGTGCCACCCGGGCTCAGTGTGCAGATGCTGCAGGGATCTAAACTATTAGCTCAAATTCCAAATTTCCGTGAAGATGCCTGCTTGCCAACAGTGGTCCGCATCCATCCTACAGAGAGCCATGTATTCAGCATTTTGGTGAATTGTCCTCAGTGCACATTGGTACACTGCGGATGGATGAAACAAAGGTTTGCTATTTGGGGATGTTTGTTTTTAAATTCCTTTTGTTTAAAACCCAAAACTTCTGCGATATGTTGAAAACAGTATTGAGCGAGAATTTCTGATTCTGTGTTTTTGCTACACCATTTAGAAATGCTCACTTGGACCTGGTCAGTTAACTCTCTAAAGCTCCCATATTCTTACCTGTAAATGAGAGAATCAATAATGTCTAGTTTGTGGATTGATTTCAAAGAGGGACACACAGGCTAGTGACATACAAAAGCAAATTTCTTTTACACGATTACTGACAGACTACAACTGAGACCGAGAATTCATAACTCAAATTATGTGCCTCACACCAAAGCCAGCGCTGGCAAAGAAAAACCTGAATGAGACACAGGTCCAGTCACTTGAGTCAGGAATGACCAGTGCTCTCCTTTCTCACCTCCTCACCCTCCCATCCCCATGTGCCATTCGTGTCCATCTGAAACAAGCCTCAATCTGTCCCTTTCCTCCCATTCCCTGAAAACACTTGCTTGTACCTAAATGACTGTTTGTTTATTAAATATTTGCATGTCATATGCCAAGGTAGGCCACAGCACGTTCACAATGCATTTGCTATACCTCCGGCCCGCGTTTGCCACTTACCTTGTGAGCACCTGTCAGACAATCAATTTCAACCTCAGAGCAGGCAGCTCCAAAAACAAAATAGGGATAAATGTCACCTTCTCCCTTCTCCCAGTCCATGCCAGCTCTGTAGCCCCTGGGAAGACAAGACACAGTCTGTGGTCAAGATGGACGCTTGTCAGCGAGATGTTTTCTAAGAATATGGAGATGGGGGAAATTGAACCGGCTTCAGGGGTTAGTTATTCACAGAATTCAGAGTGTCTGGAAATCCTGCCAAGTACTTGGAGGGGAAGAGAAGGAACATTGCCAATCAGGAGGAGGGCCACGAATTTCATGTAAGGATTCAATCAGACGCTCCACTTTTAATCTTCAGCAAGTGTAAAACCTTTAAGGTCTACACATACTTATATATTTTAATGCCCCATATCATTCTAAGTAATCACAATTGTGAAAAGAAGAAAAATACACACAGCTTTCTTAACTATCCCTTGGTTGCTGGAGAGTTGTGGCTTGGTGTGCGCTTTTTGCCAGAAGTGAAGCTAAAATGTATTCAAACAACTGCCTCTCTCGGCTCCAGAGGCGGGTGGCATTCTCCCTGCTTTGAGTTATTGCTGTGATATTACTGGAGACCCGATCCAAATACATTTTAATTTAGCATTGCTTTGCAAATTGTATTAAGCAGTCAAAAGGCCCAGAACCCCACCAAAGACCTGTAATAGCTAGAAGAGGTGGGGTGAAAATGTCAGTAAAACTGTGTTCGCGTGGCTGGGTCAGCTCTCCTCAGTGACGGACATTGACTGGAGATGCTGCTCTTTACCTCACAAAGATGGACAAAGCGGCCCTGTCGTCAAGCCTCTCCCTCCAGCTTTGAAATATTGTCTTTGTAGCTCTGAGACCAAAGCATTTGTAGCCATTGTCTTGCAGTCTGCGAACTAGCCAACTTACCAAACGCTGACTTAAAAAACCCCACAGATTCCTTATTTGACAGTTATCACTGTTTCAGCCATTGTGTGGTTCCGTGCTGTTATATAAGTCCTCACAAACAACCATAGCCACCATCCCTTCCAGAATGTTCCTCTCCTCCCAAAGACACTGTGTATCCATAAAGCACTGACATCTCCAACCTCCCTTCCTCTTCTGTAATGGCTACTGCTGTTTTCAGCCCAAGAAATCTCATGTTAGTGTAATCATCTGATATTTGTTCTGTGAGTGCCTTAAATGAGATGCGTGTGTGTGTGTGTGTGTGTGTGTGTGTGTGTGTGTGCGCGCGCGCTTGCGCGCGCTATTAGGAATTGGATCCAGGGCCTTGTGCATAATAGACAAGTTCCCTGCTACTGAGCTATATCCCAAGCCCCAACATGACCGCTTTTGAAAGCCACTCTGAGCTGTGTAATCATTCACCATGTTTTTTTCTTTGTGCATTGGTTCCTATACAAATGTGAATTCTTTCTTACATTTTCTCTACCCTTACTCCATGAAAAAAAAAAAACAAACCAAACAACTCGCAATTCAATCTTGAGTCTGAAGCATCTCTTAGCAGTGTTTTCCATCCTTATTTCAATGTAAATTGCTCTAAAATGCTCATATACCTGAATCATTGTTTTCACAGGTTAGATTAATTGCCCTCTGTCCTTTTTAGTATAGGGTCTTGCTGAATGGCAAGGCTGGCCTAAAATTTGCTTAGTGGCATAGACTATCTTAAAAGTCTTGATTATTCTTGCTAGTGTGAGGCCTACAGATGTGTGCCACTGTGTCTGGTGAACTTAGAACAATTTCGTGGTCTCTGCTATTGCAAACTCTTTAGGGCTAAGTGTCACCTAGTGAATGATGCGGCAGTAGCCGGGGTCTTTGTAAGGTTGCGTGTTCAAATGCAGGCCGCTCCTCTGAGGAGTTCTGTACTGGGCCTTGGCTCCAGCCACACATAGGAAATTCGCCTTTCTATGTGCTAGCACCGATCACTAAGGAGCTCAGGGATCAGCCTGCTGTAGCACTTTTTCAGTGAACACATCTTTATTACCATGCCACCACGTGGAAGGGGGCGGCCGGATCTTTCAAATGGGCTTTAATCAGTGCAGCTAAATGATCTAGGGAACTTCTGTTTGGCTATTTGATGCTGTCATATAAGTAAACACACACTCTCTCTAGCGTCCTGTCCTGTTGTGGGGCATATGCTTACAGCGGTACATCATCAGGGTGCTTGGGCTGATGGTCTATAACCCAATTACACAAAGTTAGAAAGTCCATGTGAGACTTAGATAAATGAAACTTGGCTGTATGAAGATCATTCCATTAGCCTTGTTCCGAACTCGGCTTACTCCTATGCAATTGCTGGGCATATACATGGCTAACCCTAACCGTGACCACATCATAACCCACACCTCTCTGCTCCTGGTGTGCCTCTTCAGGCTGGCTACCACCCTTTAAGCCCACTGCTCAGGAGTGCCTCTGCCTTCCATGGTCTTGTCTATGAGACCAAACAAGGTAAGTGCTCTCACTCTGCTTTCTAAAGTTCACCCTTCTTCCGAGTGACTGACACTCAGAGATCTTGTTATGAGCTGTGTCTCACCAGACAGACACACCAGAGACAGACACCACCAGAACACACCATATTCTCCCCAAATCCTAAAAGATGTGTCTGTGCCTGCTCCCGCGATAAGAAGAGGAGGGTGAGGTTTCGTTGCCGCTAGTGAAATATCTATTGCCTATTTGGGCAAGCGTCCCTGTCTGAGAAAACCGTTAACTTAACTTTGAACAGCTTCCCATCCTATTTGTTTGGAACTATTCTGGCTGCTGGCTTGACTCCCAGCTTCTATAACCAAAGCGAAGAGGGTCAGTCACAAGAGACAGGCTGTAGGCTAACATTTCTGAAGCCTGTTTAGAAGCACCAAATTCCAGGCCTTATTGAATGCCAGGCCCAAAGCAGTAATGAAGGACATGCCAGACAGTACATAAAGCTTGCACAAGCCCCTATACCTTGAGCTGTTCACTCGACACACAGGACCACTAAGAGGAAACACGGAAACCCATAATAGTGTGGGTGTAATGTGTATAACACACATGTATGTTGTATACATGTATGTATGCGTTATATATAATATACAACATATATGTGTAATGTAAATAAGAAATTGCATTTAGGAAACTGTGGGACTCATCTCAGAATTATCTCCCTTTACGGTAACACGGCAACCTACTGTAATGAAAAACTTTCAGTGAAAATAAACGTAGACCTCACATTAAAGAAATAAACAAGCAAATGCACATTTCCTAAGCTCTCCGTATCCTAAAGGAAACAGCTTTACAATGACATCAGCCACCTCTTACCTAAAATATCCAGTAGCAGAGAGGCTAATGCTTTGAATAAAAGCTTCGTTAACCTGGAAAAGATGAATACTGTTTTTCAAAGGACGAACACACAGCTCGACAAAAGAAGAAAGGGCGTGCCCACTGGCTGCTGCACTCTTCCTTTCTCTTGGGAAAACGTCTTTGCAGGATGAACATGGAGCTTACTGTCGAGGAGGGGGGGGATTCACCGCCTGCTCAGGGAATCTGACTGGCTTGTCTGACTTCCTCTGAAGAGACAAAGTCTCTGGTTTTGTGGACCCGTTTACAAACCAGTGGAAAAGAGATGAAGGCTCGCCACCTTCCTGTCCCTACCCCTGGAGAATTGGCATTGCTCTGAGAGTAGAGCTGTGACTATGGGCATCAAAATATGTACACACACATACACACACACACACACACACACACACACAAGTTTCAATGGAACCCAGTGACAAACGAGGCAACTTGGATAGATTACAAGTCACATGATCCTGCCACTCAATGCAGCCTGTCTGCCACAGCCCCCTGGGGTTTCCTTTTCTCAACGGCACTGATCAGACGCTATGGGGTTGGTAGGTTTCTTAGCTGGGCCATGTTCCCATGTGAAATGTTTATTCTGAAAGACGAGCCAGCATATTCTTCATGCATATTTGAAACATGTATGTGTAAAGTAACATGAGGTCGTCACCTCCACTGAAGGGGCCTTTGGGATGGGGGGGGCAGGCAACAGCTCCTCCTGCAAGGAGCCCCCCTGAATGCAGAGTTTTGAATGTGGACTAGACGGTGTAGGCTCTTGCTTCCTTGGAGAATAATCATCCACCTACAAAGCTGCCTTTAGGAAAATATCTACAGCTTTGAGCTACTTTAAGTGAACCAAGATGGCTATCCAGGAAAAGCTGGTGTAGATCAGATATGCATCTACCCTTTGCTCTCTTGCTTAAAGGGGTGGTCCAGCAGTGTAGGGGCTACTAAGTAATGTGGCAGAAGGGTAGACCCTGAGTTCCACCCAAAGCCTACTGAATAAGAAACTTATTCGGTCCATTTAACGAATAGACCAGGTAATGTGTGTTCCTGGGTAGTCGGGGGTATTCCATGCTCTACGCTGCCCAGGAGAGAAGGGACCAGGAGAGTGTTGGACAGGCCGTACCATGGGGCGGGTGATTCTACCAAGTGGCCTCAAGAGGTTCTGCAGGATTCAGTCACACCAAGTACTCACCCACTCTTCCCAGGTACCATTAGGGTTCTGGCTGATGATGGGTTCTAGGCGCTTCATGAGGATCTGGCAGGCGTTCTGTGGGTTGGAGAGGACAGTAAAGCAACCGAGAATTAAGGGGAACCTTCCGAACATGCCTCTGCTCTCACGCAGCACTCACATCCAGCAGGGAGTGTCACTGCACTCCCTCAGATGTCCTCCTTTGGTTGGTCTCCACATCTGGGAAGAGGTCAGGCCCTGGCGATTTCCTGTGGTAATGATGCTGATGTGGGGCCACGGCGGAGGATGGAGGGGCTCAGAGGGACATCGGGCAGAATGCAAACCCCTGCTCTCCAGTACAGACACACCAACCATATTTTAATTTGTTTCTGTGTCAACGTTTCATTTGAGATTTGCCGAATATCTAGCAAAGCTATGAAAACCAGGGAAATGACCACAAAAGCAGCTCCCAGATGTGGTGTTGGGCCCTACAGAAAGGCAACGTGGGGTGCAGGAAAATGTGCTTAGAATTTGAGTGTCTTTTGCTCTCCATGCCTTGGGGACCTCATCTATGACCTGAAGATAGCAGCAATGAGTGGCCATATCCTTTACTTTTCCCAGGCTTGCCAACTTGTATTGCTATCCCCACCCCACCCCACCCCACCCCCTTTAACCTTTAAAATGCCTTGGCTTGGATGGTGTTGATGTTCTATCAGAGGGTTTTTTCAGATTAGGTTATCATAGCGCCGGCTGTTATCTCAGTCGCTTCAGTCCAGAAACACTCCTCCAAAGTGTGTGGACACGGAACTTGGAATCAGGCAGTTCCAGAGTGAGTCCTGGCTACCAAGTTCAGCTGGCCAAACCAGACACAAGGGCCATTGTCTCAGCAAGGCTGCTCTGCCCCACCTAGAGGGGAGTCTGTGGCGGTTTGTTCTCTCTCTCTCTCCTCTCTTTCTTTCTCTCTCTCTCTCTCTCTCTCTCTCTCTCTCTCTCTGTGTGTGTGTGGGGGGGCAGTTTCAGCAGCACACTGGAATTTTGTATTCCTTTGCATGGCAAGTGAAATGAAGGTGGAAGGATAGGGTTGGTTTACATTGGGAGCATTCAAGGAGGAGACCTGCTCGCTCTGACACAGAACTCGAGACTGTAACCTCATTTGAGGCTTCTCCCTGAGCCCCTGCCTCCTCCAGATGCCCACTGCAGGCACGGAGCTGCTCTGTACTCCAGATGACGGTTCAGCCAAAGAGGCTTGTCTCTTGCCTTTGTGACATCGGTGTATTAGGGTGTTCTTGACATACATTAAGCAAATATAGAATTTATGCTGCCACTCCGGTGGCCTCCTCTTTTGCGTGGTACAGAGACACACCAAGAGTTGGTGCTCTGCCTCCTTCCTTCTAAAACTTCTATTGAAAAAAAAAAGCATCAGGAGACATTTTGCAAATGTGAGGGTTTGAATATGAAATAAAACCCCTCTGGTTCATGCTCAGACCCCAGCTGGTTTGTACTGTTGTGGGAGGTGTGTCATTGGGGGTGTGATTTTGGAAGTTATTCCTGGCCCCTTGTCCCTTGTCTTGCTTATTCCTGTGAGGTTAAGAACCTCCTCTATCATATATCTCACTACTGTGATGTTCTGCCCATCTGTGAGGCCAAGCACTTATGTGCTGAGTCTCCCCAAAACTGTAACGCACATCCTTGTGTTTATATTATATGGTCTAGGGACGTTCCTAAGAGTATACAGAAAACCCGGCTCCTCTGTTGGAAGGGCCCTGAGACACGGAGGAGGCTAAGGGTCGGTGCGTTGTTACCTGAATGGCTTTCCCGTTGACATCAGCCCCAGTGGAGCCTGCAGTGGCAATTGTGTTGGGGACTGTCATGGTGTTCATTTCATCCAGGTGTATGTAAGACATCGGTATCTCTAATTCACGGCTGGCCACCTGCCCGGAGGAAAAGGCGGATTGCACCAGTCTGAACTGTAACTGGGACAATGACTTAACCCTTCTAGAAAGTTTTGTTATGTATATTTTTTAAACTTTGTCTGAAAAAGTGAGAAGGACGTTTTGATATATACAAATTAAAAACTCAAAAGTGCCTTCAAAGTCTGTAAAACAGTAAGGGCCCCTCTCTACTCTAAACTGTCAGACACCAGGAGCTGGGGAAACTCTCCCAGGGCCACACAGCAGAGTTTGCCTGGGGTGGGGGGAGGACGACAGGGCCCTGCAAAAGCAAAACATAGATCCTCTGTCCTTTCACTACCTCAGAGGTCAGTTACTTGTGAGGTGTGAGTCAGCGGCTAGCGGAGGCCCAGCCATGGGCTTCTCTTTTCCAGAGTGACCACAGGCACAGGGATTTGTCTCCGGGGGAAGGAGCAGGTTGTCTGGGATCACCTGAACTTGGGTGTGCTAAGCATGTACGTGAGTTGTCTGGAGATGTTGACTGCCCAGAGTCTGAGCTTTGGAGCCCGAGAGCACTTATGGTCAGTGCTGCAGCCAGTGGCCGGGGTCCCTGGGAAAGCTGCATTTTACCAATGACTCTTTCACTTCGGAAGGGAGGTGAAGGCTCTTCCCATATCCCAGCTGGCTTATTTCTGGATGAGCCACAAAGAACGATTAGAGATACTATGCGTATCTTGGCCATTGTATCACCAAGCCCAAATATGGCCCAGTACCAAGTCCAGCATACTAAATTCTCTCTATGGCAATCCCGAAATGACCCCTCTCACCTGTATCATTTTGGTGTTAATACCTTGTCCCAGTTCAGCACCTCCGTGAGCAACCAGCACAGAGCCATCTGTGTAGATTTGGACCAAAGCAGCAGCCTGAAAGGAAATGAGAAATCTGTTCTCAGACTGCGCTGAACTCCAACCTGGCCGGTGGAGAGCCAGGGGGCTCTCATCCAATTAATAGTGTTTCTGGAAATGTCAGTGTGGACTACTGCAAACTTTACTGCAGACACTCTCATGCCTGAGCGGAGCGTGTTGACCCAGAAGCCAGTGAACACTTTGGGCAATAACTTATATGGAGATGGCGAGCTTTCATGCCTGGCTTTAAGGGGTGCAAAGGAGGAAGTCACAAAAACATGTCCGAGTCCAAAACCAAACATCTCCAAAAGGTACAAGATAGAGAGAGGACACCCTCCTTCCTCTTCCTGCAGGGGGCCAATCATCAGCTCCCGGTTACAGCTTTCAGAGTTCTTAAGAATGTGTTCTTGTTTTGTGGTACGACTTTTACAAGTGGCATGGAACTCAATAATCTATCTTGGATTTTTGTTCTACGTCACACATTTAGAGCCAATTCGCTGGTTTTAATATCTGTATAATATTCCATTATATACGTGGACTACTATTTGTTTATTTAAAAAGTTTCCAAATGACGACGATTTTGCACAGGTTTTGTTGTTTGCATTTCTGTAGTTATGTCTTCAGAGCATGAACATCCGGACTATCTATTTGAGCAAACACTATTTCTACATGTGTTATTATTTTACTATCTCATGTGTACGGCTGTTTTTCTTGCACGTATGTCTGTGTATATGTGGAGTTAATACATGGTGTTAATACCTTGTCCCAGTTCAACACCTCCGTGAGCAACCAGCAGAGGATACTGGATCCCCTGGAAGTAGAGTTACAGATGGTTCTGATCCTCCATGTGGGTGCTTGGACTTGAACCTGTGTCCTCTGGAAGAGCAGCAAAGGCTCTTAACTGCTGAGTCATCTCTCCAGCCCCGACAAACAATGTTTTAAAAGACTCATCGGGTAAATTTCCAGCAGCCGTACTGATTATGGAGCAGCGACTAAACTCAGGCTGTGGTAGCAACTGCTTAATTCTTTGACAAGATTGCAAACCACTGGATTATACAGCTTGGTTTTCTTTCTCATCTTTTCAGAATTGTGCTACATAGCCTCTGCTCGCCTTGATTCTATAATCCTCCTGCTCCAGAACCGTAGGTAATGGGATTGCATGACTGTGCCTGGCTGAAGTGTACTGTTAAATGGGTGATTTTTATAGCATATAAATTATAGCCCAATGAGGTTGTTTTAAAAAGTTTCCAGCAATGAATGTGGTTTGTCTTACTGCAAATGTATCAAAATATTTAGCTATCTTTCTAATTAGCACATTTAGCATATTCTTTAAAAATTTTGTCTTTGTTTTATGTTCATATGAGTCTTGCCTGTTTGTACATGTACAATGTACATGCCTAGTGCTCAAGGAAGCCAGAAATCGGTATTGGGTTCCCCGTAACTCCCTTGATTTGGGAGAACCAAACTGAGGTCCTCTGCAGGAGTAGGAAGCACTCTTAACCATGGAGCCAACTCTCCAGCTCCCCGTTAGTATATCTGTGCCAGTGTTCTCTGTTGATGGGGTCCTTGTATGGTCCCTCACCCCAATCCTACCCCTGGGGCTTGGAACGGTGTCCAAAGGCTGTCTGGGTTCTGACAGTGTTTTAGGTCTGCCACACACGTGTTAGCCCAGACATTGCTATTTCGTGAGTTTTCATGAATGAGAGAAGAGTGGGTACTGGCCCATTGATGGTGTGAAGCTGTGCAGTCTGTGTATATGTGTGTGTGTGTGTGTGTGTGTGTGTGTGTGTGTGTGTGTGTGTCATGTGTCTCATCCATCAGGTCACTGCCCTTGGACAGAAGGGAATTTTGCTCTGCCATATACTCCTGCCCTAGGACCATCAGCTGCTCCAGGACTGGACTGATCGCTATTGCACTGTTTCCATTTTGTGGGAAATGACAACGAAGCCAGAGACTTGTCAGGGCCACACAGCCATTCAGCATTCAAATCAGGCACACACCCAGACCTTCTAGCAGCAACTCTCCAGATCACAGCACTTTCCTGGATAAAGTCATCAGTCACCCAGGAGGCTCTGGAGAAGGTGTGCTGAGTTCAACAGGCTCTGGGTTCTGCCTTTATGGCTCAGATCAGGTGACTTTAAGGTGGTTTCAGAAGTGATATGGGACTCCAAGGAAGGCAGGAAAGCTTTGCACTGCCAGCAATCCCCACACCTCTGCTTTTCCCACTTAGCTTAATGCAGTTAGTTTTAATTTGATCATCACTGGGTAAGGAAAAAAGTGGACAGTGAGGAGAGCATTCTCACTCAAAGATGCGACATCATGGCACACTTCTGTCTCCCTGTGAACATCTTGTTACGATTATGTGTACCTGGAGAGGAACATGCAGAAATACATAGACGCATGTTCTTGAAAAGAATAACATTGACTATGTAGTAGCTGGAGGTAAAGAAGAAATAGAGAGAGAGGAGGCCACATTCCCTCTCCCACTGAAATGGAAAGCCCTTGTCAACTGTGTCTACAACTGAGCACACCGTGTGGAAAGTGACCACAATTACATCCAGTTACATAGATATACACACAGAGGTATGGAAAAATATACCAACAAAAATAAATAGCAGTTTTCTCTATTTGGTGGACTTCTGAGCATTTTCTTTCTTTTGAAACTATTGGTGACTTTTAAATTTGTACAATAATAGTAAGTACATATTATTTGTGCTGTTCAAACAGTCAATAGCACATTTTCATTGATAAAAATATCGATTATCAAAATATACTGTGACATTTCCCCCCATAACTAAACAGCCTTTGTGTATTGTGGGTGAATGATACTTGGAGGCCCCTTGACCTACGGTATGGGGTAGAATGTTCACTTAAGTTCCTAAACCGGAGAGATGAAGAGATTTAAGCATCGCCTCTAAAAACCCCTCATTAAAATATGGATTCTACAAAGTGGGTATCATTTGTGATCTCATGTTACCCTCTTTCAAGAGTGGAGCAGAGAATGTTTGGAGGAAGTAGAATCCTGGGCAGATACACTTTTTAGTTTTGAGAGGGGTAGGTAGAGTTGTTCTGGGAGACAGGACCAATCAGAGTTGAGCAACCATGGATGTGTTAACAGCATGGCTGCTGTCTGGCCACCGAATTCTGAATAGCTAAGTAGCCTTTGTCTTCCCTGGAGTTAATGGTTACCTCCCATCATTATCTGGGGTGCGGTTAAACAGACAATCCAGCAATATCTGGCTCCAAAGGATTTAGTGACAGAATGCAAAGACAGCGGAGGAGTTGCTGCTACACGTGGCCTAGCTGCAGGCAATGCAAGGCCGCTCTCTTCCCAGGGCCACCGTGGGGAGGGAGCGTGGCTCCTGGAGCAGGAATATCTCTCGGGTCTCACCTTGTAGGCAAGGAGCCCACGAATGCTCAGTACAGCACCACAGACACCCTCATCTTTCCTCTCATGCAAATCTCATAAAACGTTCTAAAATTCCACTGACTCTGCCTTTTGGGGGCTCTGCCTTTGCTCCACCTTGATGGCACTGATTTTAAAAGACTTATTATTAGCTTCTGGCTATTTCTACACTCCCAAAGTGAAATGTATCTTAATGAGAAACCTACAGACGATGACAACAAATCACTGACTAAAGTGCTGGGTTTTCTGTGTATGATCCAGTGAGCCCACTCTGCCTCCGTAGGGAGGACCATGAAACCTCAGCTCATACTTTCCAAAACTCAAGAAACAGTTTCAAGAAGATTATAAAGAATGACCGAATACTCATTTAAAAAAATCCTTTCACTCTCTTATCGATGTTACAGAGTATTCTCCCGTATATTATTTGTCTACCCATTGAACTGTGGATCCATCCATGCAGTCATGTATGCCCTGTGCTAGGCTAGGGAACAAGCAGATAGCAGAGACAAGGGCTTCTGTGTTAGCCTGGAATAACGAACCCTCAAGAGGAATCAAATTCCACCATTGTCTGACTATAAGAGTGGAGCATCAGGGTGGGAGAGCAGGGCAGGTTCAGCAAGGCTCCCAGCAGTCAGTAACGCTCAGAGCTTACACAAGAGCACAGCAGGTGTGCGACAGGACTGGGTTTCAGGAAGTACTCAGAACTGCAGATCTTGATATCAGCGATTGCTCAACCATCAATACTGTAGCCATGAGTGCAAAAGAGACCACGTGCCAAACAAGTATCACCACCTCTACAATAGTGGTTCCCAATCGGGCGGCTGCAACCCCTCTAGGGTTCAAAGACTCTCTTACAGGGCCCCAAATCAGATATCCTGCATATCAGATGTTTAGATTACAGTTTATAACAGTAGCAAAATTATAGTTATGAAGTAGCAATGAAAATAATTTTATGATGGGGGTCAGCACACCATGAGGAACTGTATTAAGAGGTTGCAGCATTAGGAAGGTTGAGAACCGCTGGTCTAAGAATTAGTATCAGTAGAGTACATGGAAACACACACACACACACACACACACACACACACACACACACACACACACATATACACACATACATTTTGCTAAAGCATTTCTGAAAAAAATCACCTGATAATAAAATGTCTTTGGAAACCCAACCGAGAATTTCATGGGGATGATGGCAAGCCCTCTCTTCTTCCAAAAGCTCTGCTGGTTAAATTCATCCACAGACTTCTTCCTTTTGTAGTAGGAGGAATTTTCCATACACGTCTCCCAGCACTTTATCAGATTCTTTGGGTCAAATTCTTGCTTGTGAATTGTCCTATCAATGTCTTTGTACATGTTTAACTCTCGAACCTGGGGGGATGAAAATGCCAAATTTCACAAAAAAATCTCTAGAGAGTGAGCCCTAACAGAAACACGTTAAAGAATACCACAGAGCCAGCGTGGAATGAAACGAAGCACTTAAGTAACAGTGTAAAGAATGTAAAGATGTAAAGAACTGAAGATGGTCCCTTTACCTACTATAAGACTTTGAAACAATTGTCTGTTCCTCTTACCTTCTCTGGTGGCAACTGACATTTGGCTGCCACGGCTGACACCCAGGTTTCTGTTACAAATGCCCCCTGAGGAAAGCCAAATCCCCGGAAGGCTGTATTGGATGGCAAGTTGGTCCTACAGACACGACCTCGGACACAAAGGTTGGGGATCTTGTAAGCATTTTCCAGTTTGAGCAAAGCATATTCTATCACCTGGAAAAGTGTCCCAAGGTTAAAAAAAAAAATCAGTCAAATTCCTTGTTCAGGCAGGCTGAAGACAAGCCCTTCTGAGGTTTATTTCTTGACTCCATTCTTGGCACAGCCAGAAAGGAATCCCACATGAGTTTTCTGGCCATCCACTTACATGGTTGTGCACTTCATGGTTTCATTGCTTGTTTACTTTTTATCTTTTCACAAACCCTTTAATATAGCCACATTCTTTGCCAAAGTATCACAGTGCTTTCATAGTCCCAAAGTCCCTAAGACTTCCATATTTTTTTTCAGAAAACAGAACTGTAAGGCCTGTTACAGCAAGACCCCACTCCTGATACAAATTTCTACATGGTACAAATCATCAGAGATGCATAAATTAGCTTCAAGGAAAGCTATTCACATTAGTTATCATTGTAGATAATGCTATATTTTAAAATTAAATAAGGTAATTATAGTTTCTGTTGCTATTACTTGTGTTCCTGCGATGATAAACTGAAATAACTACAGTTTAGAATATACTATGGTTTTAACATCAGCTTGTTTTTAATTTTTAAAGATTAAGAGGTGTTGTTTTTTTTTTTTCTCTCTCTCTCCAAAGGAGGAGGAAGAGATGCTGTCCCCAGTTTTAATATACTTCGGGGTCCAACTTTACAACTTTAGAATTGATGGAAAGATTTAGAAAGGGGAATAAGGTCAATTGGGCCAGTGTTGTCATCACGTCTACTGTTAGAAGATTAGATTGTGACGGGCATGGGAAGGCTCTGTGTGAGCTTTGGAGAAGAGCCTAGGTGAGGCCTAGTCTCTAAGCAGAAGGAAGAGGCTGGGGATATAGGAAAGAGTTTTCCCTGGCATGAGGAGGAGATTTGCCTGAGAGAAACCCAAAACCCTTTTCTCCACATGTTCTCATGTTCCCTCCCTGACAGCACCCCAGCTATGTCCAGAAGAGAGTATGGACAAAGGAAAAATGGGAGATTCAGCTCTCTGCTGGGGAAGCTCTGAGGTCACCCTAAGATACTCAACAAAGGGGCACACCCAGACCCTAGGGCAGAGAGTGAAAAGCAAGCCTTGGGTACTCTCCTGGACAGGGTACCTCAGAGCCAGAGCATCTTTCGTTCCCTGACTCCTCACAGGTGGTGGGCGGTAGCGATCTGGAAACATCCTGAGTCATCCTTGCTCACAGTTTTTCTCGGGTCAGTGGGCATAACAGACCTCTAAGCTGACCCTCTAAGACACCAGGCTTACACCGAATCTGTCACCAAGAACAGGAGCCCCGGGTGTTCCCCCAAGTCACCTACCAGTTCAGAATCATCTGGTGTGCAGCCTCCATTGATGTAAAATTGGATGTCTGCTGCCTTGACTTTCCCATCGTTCATAAAGCCAATCTGTGAACAGGTAAGCACCATTTGCCCCTGTGAGTTCTGTGGTATGAATGCTAGTGAGCAAGTGGAAGTTCAGTGAAGGCTACGAGTACAGGCTGGGGAGTGGGCCTGCCCAGGTTCAAACCCAGCTTCTGCTGTTTGCTTTGGGACACTGCCCTTCTGTGCCTCGGTACCCTCAGGCATGACAGCAGGGAGCAAAACTGTTACCCATCATGCCAAAGCTTCATGTGTGTCACCACCATCTGGAAGGCCCGAGTCCCACCTAGGAGCATTTGGTTCAGTAGACCTGGGCTTGGAAATCTCTGTTTCTAGCAAATTCCCAGGTGGCACTGTTGCTGCCGATCTGGCGGCCATTCTCTGCTCATGGCTGACCTGACCCACAGGAGCATCACACTTTGCGGTCCCAGCATTCAAACTATCCAGAGCTACAGAGTAAGACTCTGCCTCAAAAACCTACGAGAGAGATAGGGGAGCCTGCTCTGCCTTCATCACCCTCTTGTGGTGTCTCCCATGGGAACGCTGAAAGGCCCTTCTCCCTTCTTGCTTAGTTTTTCAGTCACTTAGGCAATGACAGCAGCCTAGCTAGGCTGGACCTGAGTTACCCAATCAGGCATTAGGAGATGGAAGATGGGTGCCTGCCAGGCTTTGTGCTGGGCCTGAGGTGGTCACAACAGCTGTGGGAGAGGGAAAGCCAATGTCCAGCGAGGCCGCAGGAGGGGCAGGGGTTCTGACTGAAGTGGCCCGCTGTGATTTGCCTGAGGCACCTACCTGTGCATATAGCTCTCTCTCCTTGGTGCGTTTCCCATCCTCTCAGAACGTTCACTCTTGCCTCTCAGTTCTTTTCTTCAGCCCACACATTACTGAGTTTCCTCTTAACTATTTTATTGTTTCCCACAAAGCAAGTAGCTTTTCCTCACAGTATTACAAAAATACGGTGTATTTTGGCGATCGTTTACGATATACTTAGTTGGAAGGAGAAGGTCGGAAACTAAAAAAGAACATTCCAGTGGACTGAGTTCTCAGTTTCCCCTGTTTTGGCTGGCTCAGCAGAGAGAATCACTCTGGTGGGTACTATGAAACTAGGTATTTGTCTGTTGAATGAATGGCCACTCCCAGGAAAATAGGCTAATTCGCTGCCTAACCTCTGATTCCTTTACAGACTGTTGGCCATCCCACACTTCATTTCAGCACATATTTTGTTTATGTGGGAGACACTAAGATAGCAGGTATGTAAAGACAGGAGCCTGCCTCCTGCACAGGAAGCCAGAGGTCTGGTAGGGAGATGAGCTTATCAGCAGCCGTATGATCGATAAGAAGCATGGACCAAATACTCAGGAGGGAATGAGTGGGATGGTACTGGTACTTTGTAGTCACAGGGGACACACTATGGGGTTTCGGGGTTCAGCTGCAGAGGTCTCCTAGGGAAAGTCCTTCCTGCACTATATCTGACCACAGTGGAACCAGAACCCATACAGGCTTTTATGCTAGAGTTCACAATCTCCTCGGCTGTAGGCTGAGGTCTCTGGGGCCTACAGCTGGAGCCAGGGGAGGCCAGTTTCTGTTGCTTGTTTCTTGGCACATTTTCTGTGTCCTTCTGGATACAGTGCTGTGCATTCCACCAGGCTGAAGTTGCTAGGAAACTATCTTCCGGCAAGGAGGAGATATTTTGAACTAGATTCATGATTCTACAGGATGAGTCAAATTCAGAGATGTGTCAAATCCTGAAACTCCTGCATTCCAGGGGTCCCAGGAATGGGGAGACCAATTTCTGGACACTTTTGTCTTGCTCCCATTCTCCATATTAGTGTCTCTTAATGTGCGGTGACTCAAGATGATACTGAGTGATACTGGTGATACTGAGGTTTGGTCAAAAGGCCAGGGCACTTGCGCTGTGTGGGTGAGCAGAGGGCTCTGGCGGTCTGGAGATGCAAGCCACAGGCTCCCGAAGGCCCAAGCACGTGTGTGATGCCTTTGCTACCCACTCACCTTGTATTTCCCTAGTAGTGGGTGGCGTCCTCCGGTTATCAGCATGTCATCCCCACGCTCTAGAATAAAACGGATTGAGCAGCCAGTCCTAGAGAGATAGACAGGGGATCACAATCCTGACAGATTTGAGATTTGAATTCAGGTTTGCACAATGTGCCAGCAACCAGTGTCATTCTACAAGGGAGACAGTCAGAACGCATCCACTCCCAGGAGAGAGAAGGGAGCTTTGAGGGCTTTTTTGCTTTGTTTTGTTTTGTTTTGTTTTTTGAGACAGGGTTTCTCTGTGTAGCCTTAGCTGGCCTCGAACTCACAAAGACCCACCTGTCTCTGCCTTCCCGAGTGCTGGGACTGTAACACCACACCTGCTCAGTTTTGAGTTTTCTTGCTGCTTCCTGGTAAAATTGTGCAGTTGGGAAGCTGCCTGTAGGCTTAGGAAATTCCTTTGAGGGACCTCTCTCAGTCACAGTCAAGCCTGTCTGTGGTTGCCACGGACCCGACTCCAAAGTTTCAGAAAGTGTCAACAGCTGTGAATTAGAGTCCCCACCCACGCACAGTAGTTTGGGGAGTTTAGAACTCCCTAAAGATGGACATTTTTGTGAATCTTGTATTATTCCCCTTGGTAGCCACACTCCATTTTTGTTAGTGATGTCACTGTGTAGTAAATATGCAAGTCCAAGTTTATATCTTAATTACTTGCATTCTTTATCCAAATACCAATGCACGTTAAATCGCATCGCTTATCTCTCCCCTACAAAATTTCTAGGTTCTGTCCACGTTTCCTCTTTTAATAAGTGTTCCTTTGGTTAAGCTTTAACTTTATGTCCGGACGACTGCAGCTGGAATTCTAGCCTCTTCTCTGGAATTCCATCTTCAACGTCAGTCTATATCTCAGAGCCCTTCCAGGTGAGCAAGAAACACCATACATGGGGCTGGGGGAGGTGGCTCGGTGAGAAAAGGTTCTCCCGTGTACGCTGGGCAACCTGGGTTTGTTCCCCAGAACCCACAGAAAGGTGGGAGGAAAGACGAGACCCCGTGAAGTTGTCCTGAGCTCACCTATGCGATGGCAGCATGCATGTCTCGCGTATACACCATGCACACGTGGTAAGAAAATGGTGGTAACAATAATGACAGCAGCAGAATAGCACAGACATCTGGCAGCACGCCTCGACCACCGCAACCCAGCTTTCCCTTCCTTCAATAGTTCATGTTACGACCTCCCCAGGGGTCTTTCCTGAGACTCATACTCCAACCAAAGACCATGCATGGAGATAACTTAAGATCCCTGCACAGATGTAGCCCATGGCAGTTCAGTATCCAAGTGGGTTCCATAGTAATAGGAACAGGGACTGCCTCTGACATAATCTGATTGGCCTGCTCTTTGATCACCTCCCCCTGAGGGAGGAGCAGCCTTACCAGGCCACAGAAGATGACAATGCAGCCACTCCTGATGAGACCTAATTGACTAGGATCAGAAGGAAGGAGAGGGGGACCTCCCCTATCAGTGGACTTGGGGAGGGGCATGTGTGGAGAACGGGGAGGAAGGGAGGGATTGGGATGGGAGGAGGGAGGGAACCACAGGGGGGGATACAAAGTGGATAAAGCGTAATTAATAAAGAATAATAAAAAAAAAGACCTCCCCATGTGTGAAGTTTGCACCGTCATGTCATCTGTTTAAATGTGGTTGCGATTAATAACGTTGAGCAGGTGTTTCATAGCTTTATAAATGGCTCCTTTTCTAGTGAGAGGGTTGTGTGTGTGTGAGAGAGAGAAAGAAGGTGAGAGAGAGAGTTGGCTTGTGAAGCCCGGCTACTCTCTAGATGCCAGGTTATCTGAGAGTACATCAGGCCTGCCTTCCAGGGCCGGTTCTTGTTAGCAGTCCTTGTTAGCCACACGCCTCAGCAACAGCTACTCTATTTTATGTTTTTAATAGGTTATCCACACACATAAGACAATTTAAAAAAATCACAAGGGAGCTCAGTGAAAAGCATGTCGCCTGCTGTAATCCCCAGCCACGCAGCTCTTCCAGGAAGTGCCGCTGTCAGCAGTTTTTTGTTGTTCTAAACACATTACATTTTTAATGTGCTACCAGGTGTCTTGTTCCTTAAGGACTAGTAAACCACCCACATGGATAACATCCAAATATTCGTTTTCCCTCCACCCTATTGCCTATCTTTATGGGATTTCGCTTGTGCCTCAATGAATACTGTGGACTAATCAAATCTTCCACTTTCCTTCTTCTTTGGCAGTTGAGCCAAAAGCCAGCAGGAGGGTGAGACAGAAGCCACAGAAGCCACCCAAGCCGAGGGCTTTGTGGGAAAGCAGGACAAGTGAGTCAACCTGTTCCCAGTGCTGTCCCCACCCCCAAAGAGGAGGCACGTCCTTAGCATATGGTGGGAGTGTCTCCAAGAAGGCTGGGAGATTTGCTGGGACCAGAGGGTAAGAACTGGGTCCCGGGGGAGCCCCATCTCCATGAGTGTGGCTACCAGATCCACTCACTTCTGTGCAGCCACAGCTGCCACGGATGCCAGGAGCCCAGGCTTGCTTGCTTTCCCTCCGAAGGCTCCACCAACCCTTTTCACATGGCAGTTGATCCTATTCTTTGGAATGCCCAAGGTGCGAGCCACCATTTCCTGCGAGGAGTTGACCACGGGCCCCAAGAAGGTGAAATAGAACACACATGGTTAGCAAAACGTCCATTTGCCAGAGAGCTTTTTAGTATTTTTCTCACTGCCTGCAGGAAGAATATATTTCTTCACCTATTTTGAGTATCAGCTGCAGAGACTGTACGAATGCCTGCAACATGCCAGCTGAAGGGGTACGTTAGTTTTGCTCTTCAAAATTAGTGAATGACAGACCGTGCCACAAATAGCCACACTGAGCTCCTCATTGCCCTCATCGCCGGTGTCGCAGCCCCTACAGTCCTGCAAAGGGTCCCCGAGCTCTGGGCATTCATGTCTTATAAACGAGAAGGCAGAAGAGACAGGGACGCTATACACTAGGCAAGAGGAAATAGTATATGACTCCACCTAGTTCAGGCTGGCAGAGCTGACCAGCGGGCCACAAGGCATGGAGGTAAATCAGAGCCGGCTACAACTCCAGGGATGGTCTGAAGCGGAAGCAAGTGGACCAGAGGGAAGATGGTGAGAGGCGGCTGCAGGGGGCCCACGCAACAGCACGGCGGGAGGAGTTTGAGGAATGGCAACTCTCATTTTTAAAAACGATGTATACTTCTGCTCAGTTGAGGAAATACGCTTAACTGAGACATCAATCGGGGAATAATTGCTCCTGAGTCAATGGGTAGAACAGTGCGGCTGCCAGCATAGCATGCTACAAAGAGCTCACACAAGAAAGTGGGAGGGTAGCTGGAAAGGAAGACACACACACACACACACACACACACAGGCACAAAAGCATCCTGGGAAGGGAGAGATGGGGCAGGGCTGTACAATCCTGATGGGAAACACAGTTAGTCTCTGTATACTCAGGATAATCTGTCGCTTCTGAAGGGCCACATTGCATTCAAAGATGTAATGTTGGTGTAAGAAAGGTGTAAGAAAGGCTAGATGCTCAGAGAGCAGATACGGGCAGCCGTTAGCTGTGACTGAGCCATTAGCTGTAGATGAGCTAGGACTCGTTTACAAGGCAGTATTCATCAGGGTTAAATTTCCCAAGAGTGGTTATGTTGTAACCATAAAGGAACATGCCCCGCAGGAACACATGGCTATATGTGTGTTTGGCGTAAGCACACATATTTAGCACGTTTCATTTTGAAATTTTTATTTGGAAAAGTTACACTCATTCGGGAAAAGGAGAGACTGGAGAGCGTAGGAAGGTACACGGAGAGTGTTAAGAAACAGACGATGTGCAGGAGGAGGCAGCGAGGACATCCGGAAGGGAGAGACAGGCAGGGTTCAGATTGCGGGAGCAGCAGGGCTGGGGACGGTGGCGGGAACTGAACCGGAGCGCAAGCGGGAAATGCAAGCAATTGTTCTACATGTCTCAGAAGGGGTGATGGAAGCAAGATACTGGGTCAAGCAAATCAGGAGGACACTCCGTTTTAATTATTTTAAGTACGTGAGCGCTCGAGTGTGTGTGTGTGTGTGTGTGTGTGTGTGTGTGTGTGTGTGTGCGCGCGCGCAAGTGTTGGGACTTGAACTTGGGTCCTCTGGAAGAGCAGTGTGTGCTTTTAATGCCGAGTCATCTCTCCAGCTCCCCCCCAAGCTGGGGTGGGGGCTATTTTTAAGAACGGGTATATCTGGCCTGGGGAGATGGCTCTGGTGGGAAAGGGTGTGCAGACACCAGGCTAACCCCTGGAAAGAGCCAGGTGAGGCAGCGTCCAACCGCAGCCCTAGCCCAGAGGACGGAGGCGCACATCCCTGGCGCCTGCTGTTGGGCTGGCACGCCTGGGAGGCACCAGGCCAGTGTGCAGCACCTGAGCAGCAGCACCCGATGCCGACCCCCAGCCTACATGCACACTCTCACGCAAACCTGTGCACCCACAGGGATACACATTCACAAACGCACGCACACGCCCGAAGAGGGCGGACCTGTTTTTATCTCCTGGCCCGAATTAAAGATTAACCTTGTAGACGTAGCAGAGGCAAATGTGGGCTAAGAGCGCAGACCCAAAGCTTTGGGCTGGAGAGGACCATACACGGAGGAGGGGGGCTACGGGAAGATGCAGCTAGACCCCACAGCCCGGTTTATTTCCCAGTGAGACAAGAGGCAGCCATGATTTGAGAGGAAGGGGGTAGACTTCTGCAGACATCTAAAGAGGACCAGTAAAAACGAGGGCTCAGTGTTGCCTCTGACTTGATATTCAAACCTTTGTCTTTTTACTTCTAAGTCAGATAAATGATGGCGGCGTGACAGAACCTACTTGTGTGAATGCTGCATCCTGGCTTGACACATAGATGTCTATCTGTTCATCTTCTCCCTTGGGTACCACGCGTACGCTTTGAGTCTCCATGTAAAAATGTTCCTGGCCTCCAAAGTGTACTTCCCCTTTTGGACACAGGAAACACACACAGCTTTAGAGACACATCACCCACGTACATCTGAAGCAGAGTATGACATGTTTTGCTAAATGTTATCATCTTATTCCAGGTCATGGGAATGGCATTTTGTTTCCTGTCTTAATTTCAAAGAATCACTGCAATTTGACAGAGTTTCCAAAAGCAGCCGTCAATATGCATAATTGGGCAATTACACACAATTTAAAATCTCCTAGGCGCTTGGCTCCATTTCCTTACCTACTTCTGTCAGCATGCTCTTAAGAACTAGAAATTAATTTTTGTTGGCTTGAGCAACTGGGATTTCAGGTAAGAGCGAGAAATGAGACTATCTTTCCTCCGGGTAAATTCATTTCTGTAATGAGGCTGTCCAGGGTAGTTAACGATTTTACCCAGCATCCATAAACCTGTGCTTGAATCCTGACAGCCAGCCAGATGCATTTTCATGAGTTTGTTTGCAAGTGTTAAGCCACAAACCACATCTCTGCTATTCCGTTGGAAGAGGCCTCGCTAGGACCCCACAGTGGTCAAGTGCCTGCCTCACTGGCGTACGTGAAGGTGTAGGCTGGATTCTCAGCATTGTGAACAGCACCGCACCCACAGAACAGCCCAGCCAAGGCAGAGGCCTCAGCTAGAAAGAACAAATGGTGTCTGTGATGAGGGAGGGGAGCAGGGCAGGGTGAGCGGCTCTCCTCCTCCTCTCCTTCCTCCTTCCCTGTCACAGGTATTAAAAAAATAAAGCTGAGGGTCAGGAAAGATGGCTCAGTGGGAGAAAGCCAACTCCTGAAAGTTGTTCACTGAGCTCAACATGTGTGTACTTAGCCTGTGCGTGTACACACACACACCCCAAATCGATAAATGCAAAAAAAATTTAATTCAGTTTGGTTTGCAGAAGGTATATGGAGTGTTCATGATCCACAGATAACAACTTTTAAGCTGATCTGGATTTCTAGGCCGTGTTCTCTGGTTTTTATTGACTGCTGTGGCTGAGAATTACAGGTAAACATCCTGAAATCACTACGTTCACCTGAGTTCACTTCTCTGGGAAATAACTGTAATGAGTCCCCCCCTTTGCTTCTCACAATCTCCCTGGCTCCCCCCACTTTTGTCACATGTCTGTTGACTGTAACTTTTATTGTAATATTGTTACGTTGAAATAAATTTCAGCCCCAGGACGCCTCCATACTTGCAATAATGAACTTTACGCTAATTAATGATGTAAATGAAATGAAAAAGTCAACTAGGAGTGTAACAGGCCAGCTTCAGCTATTGGTCCAGTGGTGGAGCGTCAGCCAGTTACAAGCCAGCAAATGACCAGTTCCTGCGGCTCACTTCCCTTCTGCCTATGAACCTTCCTGACCGCACTGTGGTAGGGCCTGCTGTCAGTTCCTCACATGCCTTTTCCCTCAGTTTAACTCTTAACTTTAACTTTCCTGAAGTTTTTCTTCCCACAGGACCAATTTTGACTTTAACAATGGGTTTGGGTCGCTTTGCCTGGAGGCCCTGCCAACCCCTGTGGAAATGGAATAAATTCGGATTTTAAGTGGATTTATATATATATATATTTTAGTTCCTTTAGAGATTGACCTGCTTTTTATGGATTCTCCCAAAGCTGCTCTCCAGCACCTGAATTCTTATCTATTAATGAATTCCACCTCATTTTTGCAGGAAGTGCCCATCAAGGCCTGCTGGCTCCCTGGATCCCTCATCTGTCTGCCCACAAACATGTCCACCATGATGCAAATGATATCCCTTCTCCCCTGGACAACACATCTTTAATTTCAGAGACTTCTTAGACACTTCTTTGCTGCCCACACCTAGTCAGTGACTAAGCTTTCTCTTACATTCTCCCATGGTCTCAGTGATATCTCAGTTACCCAGGACACTGTAATCTGATCAGGCTTCCGATGGACCCTTTCTTCCCATTTTAATCCAAATTCTCCTGTCAGGTGCTCTAAATGGCAATGGAGTTACTGTCACTGTCCTGGTCAGAATACCAAGTGTTTCCTATTGTCTGTAAAGTACAGGCTTTTTATTTTCTTTTCCTCTCTCTCTCCTCTCTCTCTTTCTTTACTATGGGTCAAGCCCTTTCATATATTTCCCTGTCTTTTCTGAGTCTCATATTCTGGGCTGTCCCCCTCATTATTCTCTTCAAGAGTTAAGGTTCACTAAGTTCATCCAGGCCCTGGGCGTGCTACGCAAGCCCTACCCCTGAGCCACGTCCTCCTGCCCTTTGCTTTTGAAAGAGCTTTCACTATGCCCCATATCCCAGGCTGCCCTCAAACTCACGTTCTTCCTGCCTCAGCACGCGGAATGCTGGGATACACCACCAAGCTTCACTTCCACTTTAAAGAAGACACAGCAACAACAAATACAAACTCCCACGGTAGAAAGAAAGAGACTTTAAGAATTCACCTTGGAAGGGGCCGGGTGGCCTTGGCGAGCGCCCTTAATCCCAGCGCTTGAGAGGCAGAGGCAGGCAATCTCTGTGCGTTTGAGGCCAGACATAGCTCCATAGTGAGACCCTGTCTCAACTATCTCCCTGCAGCCCCTCCCCCCACCAAAAAAATTCACCTTCGAGGATCTGATCAACACAGTTAAATGCCAATTGGACATCCCCTTGTTCTAGCTTTTTCTCAGGTCCAATAAATGATTCATGTTGCAGCGCGTCCTGTGGGGGTAACAAATGAGGAGAGATATTATTCATGACGCTCAGTTTGTCCGTGGGGCGTGCTGTACACTGAAACCCATACGTAAGGTCGTCATCAAATTCAAAACTCCCTAGGGCAGCACTTGTTCTAAACATGGCGTCTTCATGCCTTGGCGAGTCTGAGGACACCTTGGATCCTATCTTCTGAGCTGGCACATTTTGGAAGACGTGATTCTGGTGTCATGGAGCCCATTATGTAACTCTGCCTGTCAGTCTTCCCTGAATTCAGGACACCTGTGCCCCTTAATCCTCAGAAGAAACCCATTATAAGGCTTAACGCTAGATTAGCCTAAACCCTTACACTAGCTTTAGCATTCTTGCCACCCTCCGTTCACAGCTAGGTGAGTTGATGAGGATGAAAAAGAAAATGATTTCAATAGCCAGCACCACACAGACGTTTATCCTCTGGTCCTTAACTCACCCAAGTTCGTCTCAAAATCACACCTGCTTGTATTCTTGCTTTTTTATTTTGTGAATGGCTTACTGTTTTTTTTTTTTTTCAAAGCTCTATTTTAAACTTCTTAAAAAAAAATTAACTAGTACATTCCAGTGTTTTCAGAGTGAGACAGCATCTGCATAGATTGGTGCAGTGTGGGTGTGGTAGTGGGGGTGTGTGCCCCAAAGATGAGCACTGCTGTTAGTTTTTTATATATTCTCCTAGATAGATGCAAACACAAATACACGAAAGCCCTTGAGCTTAACATCCTCGTTAGGTACACTTGTGCCTTCCATTTATCAGTACCATTCAGAGATCTTTCCGTACCCGTGAACAGAGAATGAGCTCAATAAAAAAGTCCACACAACTCCACAGAGTGTGTGTGTGTGTGTGTGTGTGTGTGTGTGTGTGTGTGTGTTCAACAAGGTTGAACTCGGGGCCTCCCACATGTGAGGTAAGCACTCCATCACTGAACCACAAATCAAGACCTAGTCCCATTATACAAGGGAACATGCAATTGGGGTTTTACTATTGCCAACAGTGGTGCAGAGCTGAGTCCAGGAACAGATTCCGGTATCGGCTTCCTGGTGAAGGATTTAGTCGCTTAGTGTTTTCATAAACACTGCTAAATGTTTCCTCATGCAGATTATTGTTGTGTTTCGCATTCCTTCCAGGAAGATAAGAAAATATCTGCTTCCCTACAGATCACCAGCTCAGTGTTGTGAAACTTTGGTATTTTTGCTGAAAATGGCAGTTTGTTGTAACTTAAATTCCTCCTGTTATTAATAGGATCATACATTGGCCATTTGCAATTTCTTCTTGCAGTCAATGTATTTGTATCCTTTGTTCAGTTTCCCTATTTGTTCTTTTTTTTTTTTTTCCATTTCTAAGAACTCTATACAATAAGGGAACATGTCAGTTTCCTATCATGTGGCTTACAGATGTTTCCCAGTTGTTGCCTGTCTTCTGTTCCAAGCACATATTTCTTTGTGCTCAAGTATTCTCACTCCACACTGCTAATCAGTCAATCTCTTATGGAATTTACAAGTCCAGTGATACTCAGGAAGGTTATGAAGGCGTCCACCTGTGCTTTCTTTTCCTGCTGCTTGGATTTTGCTTTTGACTTCTTCACTAGTGCTTAATCTTCCTTATCTTGGTCTGTTCTGATGCAATGAGCCAGTGTGGTAAGGTTAATACTGTTCATCCCTCACTTTTCCTTAGCCCTTGACCTCCAGTGTACATGACTCCACTATATAGATCTGTGGACAAATCTTCATGGGCCTTTAGTGAAGAGAGAAAGAGTGCTCAGCTGTCTGTCTGGTAAGCCAGAAAATGCCTTCTTTCTCCAGTAGAACTGCCACAAAATGCAACAAGGAATGGCTGCAGTTTGCCTTGCAATCTAGAGAAAAGTGAAGAAAAGCCGGGCCAAGAAAGAACCCTCTCTACATGTAGGGGGTTGGGCCAGTCCCATGGAAGGCAATAGAAAACTTGAAGGTGGTTTAAAGCCCAGGTAACTGGAGCCCAGGGCCGATGCTGAGAGAAATAAATTCCAAGTTTACAAATCTTCAAATCAACCTAAGAGTCAAAGGGTGAAGTTTCTAATATCCAAATGTCAAGCTTGGAAATTGGGAAAACCAGAAAGATTTGTCTCAGGTGTTCCCAGGGCAGGTGTCACAGGAAGGGGTCTGTAGTGGGATTAGAGGACCCATTTCCAGCAGGAACTATCTGATGCGAAAAGGAAAGGAGCCAGAAAATTCCAGGAAAACCCAAACCAAACCAAACCAATCCAAAACAAAACATTTTTTTTTTCTGCCGTGTGTTATCGCCAGAGTATGTGACCACTGCCATAGAGTTAAGGAAAGTCACCAGGACTGCTTAGCGACACCTAGCAACACTCCTTGAAACTCTCAGCAAAGACTCACTGCGCCAAGCCACCCGAAGACCGACAGAGCAGTCACTGAAGTTACCTGAACGGTCACAATCGTGGGCTCCAAATCTTCATAGACAATCTGCACTTTTTTGGAGGCCTGCTTGGCATGAGCGTAAGAGTCAGCAGCCACCGCACAGATGATCTGACCCACACAGATCACCTGAGGAGAGGGAGGAGAGCAAAGGACACACACAGAGAGAATGAAAGCTGGACCCCCACCTCCAAGGCCCTTGTCAACGGGGGGGGGCTGGTAGGGGGAGGGTAGCACAGAGCACCCCCCCTTGGCAGGCTGCCACTAGCAATGAGCCCCAGAAAGCCTCCGAGCCTCCACGTCCTCGTCTTATAAGAGATGCGAGCCAGTTTACCTGGTTCCCGCTACCTCAAGTCAGTTACAAAACAAGGCTTAGTACGGACGGGTCCTCAGGAAGAGTGCACGCTCATGTACATCAAGCCCCTGTGTCCACTTGCCATTACCGTTGATGTGCCATGAGAGGCTTAGGCACCATCGTCACACTACCTCATCCTGTGCATACAGGCACTCTTCTTCTCTGCCATTGTCACCAGGAACATCTTGAGCCGTTATCACATCAAACACCCCAGGTGATGCCAAGGCCTCGGAGGCATCAAGGGAGCTGGGAAGGAGAGAAAATCACAGTGTGTCACCCGGAGGGTGGGGGTGGGGTAGGGGACACGAGGACCTCATCCACGTGAAGATGGAGATACTGAGGAACATCAGCAGGCAAGCCCGCAATGTGGAGGTGTTAACGTTGGAGGAGGGAGGCTCCACTGGGTCCACCGGGCACAGACTAGCCTCGCCTTCCAGGGTGAGTCCGTGCTTGCTTCCCTCTGCTAGTGCTCAGGTGAGGCCTGGGACCCTTTGATGGTAGACATCAAAACAGAGAGAGAAGCATTGCTTTGGGGATCGCACTAAGCAGGAAAGTTGTTCTCGACACAGTACTTTCTCAGCTAACAATGGCCAGTTCTTCAGGTAAAAGCTGCTCTTTCGGCAGGGGCCTCCTTGTCTGCACTCCCAAGCTCACTGTTTCCCACTGCCTTGTATTGTCAAGATACGTGCTCGGACTGTGTTTTCAGTATGTGGAGTAGGATCAATTGCTAACAGGCAACCACATCTCTAAGTGCCCTCTGGGGATGCCAAGGCTCCCAACTCCATCATCACGGCTTACATGATTCTAGCATGTGGCCTGGTGCTGGTTACCACAGCTAGGAAGAGCTCCTCTGCCAAGGGAGACATATCATCACAAAATACTGCCTCCCCCGTGGCGTGTTTGATGCCAGACTGATGCATGATGGGACGCCCGACGGGGTCTCGAAGAGGCTGCTGGGAGTCTACATCCTGTGTTAAGAGAGCAGAGCACAGACAAAATAAGTAAGCAAGACTATTCATGGGCCAGGAGGATCTGCCAGGAAGTGGCTTCTTTTCCCATTCTCTCGAGGCAAGCTTTCTAAAGTAGCTTAGTTCAGCTGAAAGTGGGTTTTTCTTCTTTCCCGTTGCTTATCTGCAGGAAACAGAAAAGGTACTCACAAGTAGGAAAGATGAGACAGGTGGGTCCTTGACTTGAACAAAAATAGATTTTATGACAGGTAGCATCTAGGAGACCTCTTTTCTGAGGAACCTTGTATGTTTTGTAAAGCAGACCACATGGGAGGCCACTGAAGGTAAGGTCGTCAATTATTGGTGGGTTCGTGGGCTCTAGGTGGGTGGGAGTCAGGAGACAGGAGTTCTAGCGAGTCTTAGCCGGGAGTTCTTAAATGTTTAAGTTTTGGAGGTTGTAGCTTCAAACCTTCAAAGTGTGAAATCAGAGCTATGATTTTTAGGTGAGATGACATTTTGAACTTGCAAACTGAGGTGTACGTTGTAAAACGATGTGTGTGGTACACGTATGTGCACACGTGTGTGTTTACCTGCGCGTGTGTGCCTGTGAAGGGCAGAGGTTGACGCCTAGTGCGTTCCTTCACTACTCCCCATCTTATTTTTGAGGCAAGGTCTCTCAATGAACCCGCAGCTTGCTGTTTTGGCTAGACTGGCTGGCTGGCCGGCCAGCATGGGGACACGCGGGGTCTGGTTTGGTTTCCCAGGAGAGAGTCAAATCGTTTGTTCCCCGTAGGAAAAAACAATCTCAAAGGTTACAGGGTTTTCTCTGCAAGGTGTTTTCTGGTTTTGCATCTAAGTCAGTCATATTTCACCAGTCTTTGGGGGAGGGAGGGTCTCCAAACTCAGTCCCTTTCACTTTTATTCATTGATTGTGTTTATTGGTCTCCTCATTAATGAGTTAAGGAAATGTCTGATATATGCTTTAGATTTGTACGAAAATCAAGTTTTGAATACTCTAGGGTGCATTTACAGTGGATTTTTGTGTTAGGCCTGGAAGATTTTTTGATAATCTTCTTTGCATTCTTTTGTGTTTGTCAATTTTTCATTAAAGAGCATATTTTCTCTAATAAGAAATAAAAATGTGTGCATGTGCGTATATGTGTGTGTGTGTACAGCCTTAATTTTTTGTTCACACTTTCTCGAACCCTCTCCCCAGCAAAGGACATATCAAGACTTCCAAAGGCAGCTCGTAGTTGACAGGACAGACATATGTAACATGCTTTATCATGTTCCTCTCTATAACTTGGTTATCAATTATTCCCCCCCTAAGCTCATGTGTTAAAGGACTGGGGACCAGCCTGGACTGACACTGGGAAGAGGAGTTAGATCACTGGGGACCACGTCCTTGAAGAATGTATCAGACTGTGGCTCTACTTCCCCTTCATATTTATTTCCTGCCTGCCACGACGTAAGCGTCTTGGCTCTACAACACACTGTCCTCTGTGGCATTCTGCCTCAACCAGCTCATAGGTGCAAATGCCTGAAAGTCCCTGAAACCGTGAGCCAAATAAGCCTTTGCTCTTTTCAAGCTGAATTATCTCCGGTATTTTGTCCTCGTTGGCTACGAAGCTAACATATCCCTGAGAGCTAATCTACGTTATTAGTTAGGTATGGAGATCTCCATCATGACAGTCAGCTGAGCCGAGCCCAGGGTAGACTTCTTTAATGAGAGCAGAGGGCAAGGCCTGGGTCACCAACACCTTTGTCGATGGGAACAGGAGTCTGAGTTCCATGTGAGTGACTAGAAAGGTCAGGAGGGCTGTAGTCTAAGCTGGGGCAGGGCCTTTTGGAGATACAATGGTTTGGAGACCACCCGAAGTCCTGCGAGTAATCTATGCCCTGTACAGTAATCCAATACATTCATAGTCTCACCAACCTGAACTTGGGGAGGGCATGAAATGAATAGCCACGGCAGGGAGGCCTCTGCTGCCCCCTGCTGCTGAGCTCCCAGAGAGAGCCCCTCCCCCACTGCCTTTCCAAACAGGATGGTTCTGTTTCAGTAACTTTTATTAGATGACAGGCTGTGTTTGGAGAAAAATACTTCAAGTCCAATGACACCTGGGCACTATCAAAATTTTAAATTATCCCTATCTGATAGAATGAAACCTTATCTCTCTGTCGTCTTAAAATAAACGGCATTTTAAAATTCTGAGTGAGGCTCTGTGTGTTTTAATGTTCTAAGTTCATTTTCCCCTCAGTGACCCGCCAATCCTTTATAGCTGTTGTAAAAGGTTTTGTTATTTTTTTTTTTTCTGTGAATGTTTCTTATTGTTCATGCATTCTCTTTTATATAGTTGGATCTGTCAGGCTTTTTTCCGTCTGGGTTTCAGGTCATGTTTGGAGGACTCAGACTTAAAAAGAATCTGCACATATTTTAACCTAGTAATTTCATGCTGCTGATTTTAATGTTTAAAATATTAATGAATCTGAAATTTACATTCACTGTAAGGTGGGAAATGTGGCCTTGTTTTTTTGTTTTTAAACTGGCTTTCATAGATAGCTCTACCTAAACCCTCCATTTCATTGTTTATTTGAAATGTGCTTTTGCTTCTCACGATGACCCACGATCTGGTCTGTTTCTAGACTCTGTGCTGCTTTATTGCTCTTTCAGTTACCGCTGAATCCTGCCACGATTATGATGTTTAATCATACCATGCTGTATGTTTAACTCCTAGAGCTACAGATTCCATCTCAGAGCTGAGGAGGGTTGGGTACACCCCTCCTTACTGGTTTTTATAAATGCCTTAGCTCTAGATCAACCTTAAAATAAAAATTTCCGAAACTCTTGTCAGTATATTGGTTGGGAATATATTTAATACATACGGTACTTAGGAGAAATTGCTGTCTTTATATACACTTTTTTCTTAGCTTTGAACTACATTCTTTTTACTCCAATATGCTTTCTTTGAAAGTTTACCAGCAATTTTATAAGATTATTTTACACAAGCACTGTATATTTCTTCCTGGTTTTATTTCTAGGAATTTGTTTTGTTTGTTTTGTTTTGTTTGTTTGTTTGTTTTGCTGTCCTTAGTAGGACCTGCCATTCCACTGCATTTTCTAACTGGCTATTGCTTATGAATATTTTCCCACAGTGGGACCTCTGCCAAGACCACCGTAGCAACTTGAAATTCAGAGCAAAACCAGGTCAAAAGTCAGTTGCAGCCCCTTTTGGTGGTTGTGTTCATTCCAAAAAATGTACTAACCTTAAATGACTGCACCCCATGAGGCATGGTCAAAGGAAAGTCTTCCAGGTCGTGGCAGAGGTTCTTGGAGATGTCACAGTCTCCACAGGGTTCCTGGAATAAAGGGGTGTCGTTTATTTAATGGAAAGTACATCCTGGGAAGATTTAGTTGAGGTAAAGGATTTTAAATGTCTGCTGCTTCGTGGTCTGCTGATTTGTTTTTGTTGCTTTGGGAAAGTTGGAGTTAACTTAAGGAGAGCTTTGAGTTTCATTCAGTATGGTCCTCAGAAATGTAGCTTACAAGCCGAACTACGGTGAGGTCAGGACATGGGTGCTCCCTTTAGCTTCCCAGCAGCTGGAGAAGCATCTAGAACAAATTCTCTTTCCCAGCACGTCCTAAAGACAAACTTTACCCTCATCTTTAACTGCTTCAACACATCTAAGTAAAATTTGTAGAGGAAACTTGTGGTAAGTGTTCTTCGGTAGTCCACCATTCCTCCGGGGGCTGATGCCGGCAGGGAGATTTCTTCTAGAACCATCCCGCAAGCTTCCTTCAACATCTCTTCATCCCAATGCCTAAACACACAGAAAGGAACGCAACCAGTTGAGTACGGGCAAGGCCAAATAAGCATCTAACACATCCCCAAAATAAATCTGAAATATAAGCAAAGTTTTCTCAAATTAATTTTCTCACCCAGGACTACCCTAACACACACCAACATCTTTGGGCATGCTGTGCTTCTGGTGCTAACACCAAAGTGCTACATGCCATAGAGGGAAGGCACAGCCCCTCCCTTCCCTTTGACAATGGTGTCAGTTGCCAGTACTCAGATGACAGAAGACATGTTTGGTGAGAGGAAAAGTTGGCGAATCACCTCCCGATCAGCTGCTGGCAGGATTTATTTGCACTGACTACGGTGGCCCCGATTCCTCCATACAAGATGCTCAAGTCTTTAATGGTGCTTGTGTTGTTTTTGAAAACAACTCTCATCCCAGCATTCACGACTGCAAAGGCATTTTGCTGGCGTGGGGCCTGCCTGAAGGCTGATAAGAACTCCCACTGGAAAAAGAGAAGAATGTTTGTTTGTTTGTTTTTTAATTTGGAAATGTTTCAAATCTATAGCTGTCTTAAGAGGAAGAACCCTAAATAACTAGATAGCCCCCTCAGTCTAAGTTGAAATGAATCACCGGCACCCTGGCGCTGCGTCACTAAACGTTTCTATATGTAACTCCTAAAACACAAAGGTCTCCTCCAGAGCTCCAGGCCAGCAGGGTTATTAACAGCAAGCCTTATTAGCCGGTCACCATAGTCCCATTTACGCATGCGCCGGGTCGGGCCCCACCCCCTGCCCTTGGTCCTCGAGGGTGGTGTTTGACAGCTCTCTCGGTTTCTTTATTCTGTGAGAGTTTTCCGCTTTGTCCTCATAAACCGTTTAGGTTGGCCTTTGTGGGGGTGACAGGAGCACAGCACGGATGATGCCGTACAGGATGTGCCCTTTTTCTTCACCCTACGCGCTACAGGCACCCTCACAGAAACCCTCACACAAGCCCCGGAGCGGACTCCGGGCTTGGAACGGCGCGTCTCCTCTCATCTGGAGTGGTAGCCTCTTTGACGTTAGCACTTTGGGATCTGCTGATCAATCGGCCACAGCAAATCCTTAATTTTATTGTTCTGGTGTATTCCGCTACGTCGCTGAACTTTAGCTAATGCTGTAATCTGAATGGCAGAGAGAAGATATCTCCTCGTGTTTTCGGTAAATGGAAGTGGCTATCAGTCTGTCCGTGGTATTCCCTCTGCTCAGAAGCCTCTCAATACATGCTGGGGGACACTGCCAACAGCATGAGGATGTTTCGCAGTCGCCACTGCTCTTCATTCTTTTGGTTGAACTGATCTCAAAAACAATACGTGAGGTATAATAGTAACAGCCGCATTTGCCCAAGCTTCTGGACAGCTAGCAGATACTGTTTTTGAACAAAAAGTGAGCCAAAGCTGTACTTCTCCATAACAACCACGCGAAAGCCTGGTAGGCTGAGAACACCTTCTTATAACCAGAGCTCCCTGCTGCCTCATACACTTCTCCGTAATTATCATTAATTTAAAGAAAACATTAACTTGGTAGAGCAAAGCCAAAACGATGTTAAAATGATTCTTTGTTCTACTTAGCTCTTCTGAGGTTGGTGGTGACTTGGGGTCCTGCCTCCACCAACCTTTCACCACAAATCTTGGTTGAAATGATAAAAGCTTCCTTGGGGTACAATCTCCTCCCCTGTACATTAAGTATATTGGTTCTTTTTACCAAAATGCTTTGTGGATCCAAGTGTCCTGAGCCTTCATGTTGCTGAAGAAGGGTAGGGAAATAGTACAATGTCCTGACGCTGCTGAAGGAGCTGGCTATATTTATTTATACCCGCGCATGCATAAAGTCTTTACTACAAATTCCATGTTTCTCTGCGCCATGGCTAACCCAAGACAAAAAGAAACAAATATCCCATGATGCCAGTGGATATGTAAGCCTGTGACCTCATACCTTCCTGGAGAGGGGCATGAAAACTGAGATGAGCACTTGGTCAGGCTTCAGGCTTGCGTCTGGTAGTCCGGCAAGAAAACGGTCATTCAGAGGAATTTGCTGTATTCCTTCTGTCAGGGGAAAAACATTTTTATCAAAGGTCTATACCACTGTAACTCTTTTATTGACTCCGGTGGTAGTCTTCTTCTAAAAACAAGTTCCAAAATGGAGATTGAATGAACAAATAGCTACCTGTAACATCATGGCGACCCCAAGACCTGAGTCTCATCTGGGAAAGATGGCCTTCTCCCTATAGTAGCAGGGTCATGCCGTGTGTACGAAACTCTCTGCCTGGCTTGCAGTGTACGACAAACAGAGCAGAACCCCCTGAATCAGTGTGCATATGTGGTCACAGTGCCAGACGATGTGTGCGGAGTGGGCAGAGCATGCATGAATGAGAGACAGCGAGGACCTCAAGTGTCTGAGGGGATATAGTAAGCCTGGGGACCGTGGGGACGTGACTTGTAAGGACACTGACGCTGATGGGAGAAATATGGATGATGGCAGCCATGAGCGCCAACCCGCGAAACAACCATACACTCATGCGGTTATTTCAAATCCACATCCTAAAAACACAGACCCAGAAATAAACATTATACCTCTAGAGAGAAAACCTCCTAGCGAAGGTGACATACTTATTTCCTTGTGGCATTTTGGGAACTCTTTGGGGAGGTCGTCTTTCTGAGCCTGGGTGAGGATGAACCTCTGTCCTTTGAAGGTGGGTTTGTTCTGGGCTCAGAGGTAACAGCCATTCAGGAGCCAGACGGATGGAAAGGATGTTGGGTCAAATTAATGGATACACTTTTTAGTCAAAAGTCAAGTGAAAATGCATTGATTTTTCTCACAGAATTTGTAAGCCAGGAAGAATTTTCTTTGGCCCCTTTCCTCACCACACGGGGTCTAGTTCCCTGTCCTGTCCTGCTGGAACCTCCCATTTCAAATAAGTTTTTTTTTTTGACAAGGTTAGCATAAATGAAGGTTTGTTTAATAGCCCTTGACATCTGAAGGGTAAATATATAATCCTTACAGATCCTTTCCTGTGGATTCTGCTATAGAATCTTCTATTAAAAAAAATCCATGAGGGGCTCGTGGTCCAACTCAATGGTACAGTGTTTGCCTAGCATACTCAGGGCTCTGAGTTTGCTCCAACACACACACACACACATGCACACACACACACACGCATGCACACACATAGTACATGCAATATTGTGAACCAGTAAGAAATACATATTTGGCTTCTGCCCTGGTCCCTGATATTGAACTAACTCTTGTAGGCAGTAGAGCTACAAGGAGGCTGTCTTGCTTTGATGCTTGGTTTTTGCTGTCTGTTGATACACTCTTAGACCCGTGTGGTGTTCTGAGAGATAAGAACATCTGACAGCTTCTACACTCTCTGGGGTTTCCTGCCTAAGGGAAGCATCTTCGTCATTAATGAAGTGCCTCTTAGTGGGCACTTGAATGGCCTCAGGATGGGAGCAGGTTGCCAGGGAAACCAGCCATGTGGTCAGAGGGTTGATACATTAGCTAAGACCAGTGGCATCCTCAACCATGCCTACCGTGAGGTTCTAAAGCCTGGGTCCAGAGGACGGAACGTGTGGAGGTGACTAGAGGCTTGGAGGCTTGGAGGTGACTTAGACACACTGTGTCCTTTCCCCCATGCTTTGCCCTGTGGGTGCTTCACCTTCACCCAGTGCTCAGCAGTAACATTTGCAATATCCCACGTCATGAATGGGCACACACGATATAAAGCGTCTGCCTGGGTTTCGGGAGCCCATGTAGCAAAATAATAGAACCAACAGGTAGGACTGAGAAAACCCTGATTTTGGTCAGAAGTTCATGGCTGGGGATCCAAGGTGGGGACAGCCTTGCGGTCCGACCCCTCAGCATGTAGAATGTGATGCTGTGTCTTGGAAGAGTCAGACTCAAGCTAGCTTCAGTTACAGCCTGCTGGGGAACTGCATGATGTGTGACCCCTGGCCATGTCTGGGGTCAAAGGCGTTCTTCGTCTAGTGGTGCCTGAGAGTTAAAAGGAAATGTTTGCTTTTTTCCTTAAAGTACTAGAGTTTAGCTTTAGGGGAAGTAAATGGTTCCTTTAGGGCCTAAATATATAAGCAGGACAAGGGGAGCCACATACAAGGGAGCTGAGAGAGCCTCCATGAGAACACACTCTGAGGTACGCCATTTCAGCCTCTGTAACGTGAGCCAGCCGCAGCGCTTTTGATGGTGATCTATGTCTTGGTGACTTGTGTGTGTGTGTGTGTGTGACAAACTATCTAGACAAAAGCTACTTGAGAAAGAGGTTATTTCGGCTGGCAGTTCAAAGCCCAGTTTCTTGTACTGGGGAAGCCAGGGTGGCAGGAATCTGACACAGCTGATCTCACTGTCTGTAATCAGCCAGCAGGGGGCAGTGTGCGCCCGCCCAGCTAGTGTCCTCTTTCAGCCACAGGACCCATGTCCAAGGGATGGTGCGTTGGGGGGCGGTGTGTGTGTGTGTGTGTGTGTGTGTGTGTGTGTGTGTGTGTGATCCCATCCCAATTAACGTGAGACAACAACTCCCAGGCATGCCCAGCTGTTGATCTACTCTTGATAATCCCATACAGGCGTTCCGAAAGGTCGTTCTCTTCCCGATCATAGGTCCTACCAGGCTGACCATCAATGTAAATACCCAACACAATCAGATAAGTGGAGATGGGTTTACTGACGATTCCCAGTTTCTTGAAGTGTGTCGTTTTGCTCACTCTCTTTCTGATGTGCACACTTCTACATCTTTCCACAGCAAAATGAAACATCAGATCTACTTTGAATGTCGCAAACAATGAACTCCAGTCACCCCACATCTCTTTGCTTAGTGGTTGGGAAACTGTCATCTGGCCCTAGCAGGCAGCTCAGTAACTCACCTGTTGAAGCAACATTGAGGATGCACTTCCCTACACCCAAAACAGGGTTAAGGTCAGAGGTCGGCAGCCTGCTGATGATATGACCACCTAAGGACTAAAAGAAAGATCGATAAGCAACCCAGGGCTTTTGTTGTGAGTGATGAATTACACTGAGCATGACATTTCCTTTCAGGGTAATCCAGCAATTAGAATAGAACATGGCAGCATGCTACAGGTTTTCTTGCAAATTCTGAAATGTTCACAGCAATCGCTTATTCTCTTATTTTAATTATTTACAACCAAGGAAAGTAGGAAAACAATGCAAAACCACCTGAATTAGGAGGCAGGTCAAGTGTGGTTTATGGATGAGGACATTATTCTGCGGTTGTGTGTGTGTAGCTTGCGTGATAGCAGACAAGAAATGGTTAAACAAAGCCACACAGATTGCTTATTAAGTAAGAGGGAATGATGGGGCTATGAGTGTGGGGCCAGAGAAAGCAGCAAGGGGTATTTGGAGTGATGAAGTTGCTGAGTCTCTTTGGGGGCTTTTAAAGAAGGAACCTTCTGGACTGGATAGACAATCCTCAACAGATAACTGCAGGCAGTATCCAAGTCATTGTAACAATCCAGGAAGATGTCATCCCTGCACATCAACCAGGTCATTTAAGTGGCTTATTCCACAGGGATCTACAAGTAGGATAGCCTTTCATTCATGTCACATGGGAAGGAAACACCAATGGAAACTGCTGGAAACAGAGATGCTCTCTTTCCTCCTTAAAGAGTCCCTGCCCAGAGGAAGTCCCAGAGAACCTACAGCCATATTCCTGATCTGCTGCCCAGCCAGGGTCCTCAGATGCTTCAGGAGAGCGCAGTACATCTGTGTCCTCTCCTTGGGGAGCCTGGAGACCACATCAGCCAAGATGTCCTTCACCTGGCTCAGGCTGAGGCCGGCGCCCAGTATCAGCCCTGAAAGCAAGGCGCCTTTGTTAATATTCTGTAAGCTTGGATATGAAGGGTAAGTGAAGGAAAGACAGACAGAGTTGATTATGATGCTGTCTTTCTCACTCATAAACATTCCATGTGCTCATTAGGCCATCTTATAAATACAAAGGAGAAACAAGAGCAAAAATAATGCATGATCGCTGAAAGGGAACCCAAACCAGCAGAGCAGCTCACTGTTCTGTGCTATCAGGTCAGCCCATGCTCCTTTCCTCCCACCATCCCTCCCCTGGGGCTAGGTGGCCTTCTGCTGCCTTCCCCCTGACTCTCTGTTCCAGCACCAGGCACTGTTTTCTGTCTCTGTTGTATGTGCACTTCCCACCTTCTCGACCAGTTGCCTCCCGCCTACCTTTCGATCTCAGGTCTGACTTCCAAAGTTGCAGTTTGGTTAGACTGCCCTGTTACCTGCCTCTGTAACATCACTCATCTCTCCTGGGCAGCACTGGTCATAGCTGTGATCTTTCATGGAGTTTGTGTGACATCTTTCTCTAGCATCTGAGGATAAGCTGAAGGCTTGCTTCAGACCACTGTATCTCTGATGCCATGCATAACACTTGTTTCCTTGGTAACTTCAAACCCTTCCATTTAAAAGTTCAACTTGAAATTCCATTCCTTTGTCAACATGTGTCACACATGGCATATGTGTGAACATATGTACACATGTAGAGGCCCAGGTAGATTTTAGCAATGTCTTCCAACAGCCTTCCTCCTCCTTATTCATTGAAGTAGGATCTCTCAATCAAACCCAGAGCTTGCTGATATGGACAGTCCTGATAACCAACTTGCTCTGGGGATCCTCTGTCTCTGCCTTCCAAAACTGGAATTTCAGGCAGGCCATTGCATCCACTCAGCATTTATGTTTCTGGGAATCCAAGCTCTGGTCCTCAGGCTTGTGTGGCAAGTGTTCCAGCCACTGAGACATCTCCCCAGGCCTGCTTTTCTCATTCCTGTTATTCACTACTAAACTTCTATCTGATCTGTGATCAGTGTTCTACCATCCTCTAGTTGAACCATTTTCCTAAAAGGCACTATGAATAAATTCTGACCTGCTTCATCCATTAAGCAACTATTTCTGAGCACCTACTGTGTGCGGTATCCTAGGGTAAAAAAAAAATACAGATAAGGTCTCCGCTTAAGTCATTGTTCAGTAGGGAAAATATAACTAGATAAGCAATAAACTGTGTGATTTCAGCTATGTAAGTATTAGGAAAATGTGTTTGAAGGCAGCTCCTGGTACCATTTCTGGGCCGCCTGAAGCGTCACCCCACCAGCAGCCGCGCTTAGAAAATCTTGTCAGGAAACCAGAAACATTCAGCCAGTGCATCTCTATTTCCGCACATTACATCCTGTTTCACTCTAGAATCATGGACTTTCTGTAGAAAAAGTACAATTTGTAACCACTTACATTTCAAAGAACACAAGTTTTTAGACATTGCTTTATCAGCATACGCTCAGCAGGGGGAGCTTGTGATTTAGTTTTTGGCAAGTTGCCCTAAAAGGGCTCATGGAGAGAAGAGCCTGCCTGAGCAGGCTCCTGCCTAACAAGGCTTGCTTGCCTCATTTGGGAAAGGAAGGCTTGCTTCAGTTGATGTCAACAGGAATGGCTGATGATTCATCTCAGGTCAGAATTCCCTTCTGCAAGGTTGTTTGTGCAACTGGTTAACTTAGAACAAACAGCTCAGCTCAAACAGTCAAAGACTCGTCTGGAAGCTTCTAGTCAAACAGTCCAAAGATTCACCTAGAATGACAGCACCTGTCTACCTGTCCAAGGCTTTTCATCCCAGACTGAGAACTCAGGGTATCAACTTCCTTGACCTGCCTTCATTTGGCTGTGATTACTCATTGATCTCTGCCACTGGTGATTACAAATCAGGGGTTTATTTACAACTCGGTGGATGTTGAAAGAGCGCTCACTACATGAGGATCCATTTCTTGGCCAGAGGAAGACTGACAGAAAGAATTAAGTTCTCTGAGTCAGAGCTGTGACATGACTCAGCAGCCCTGAAACCATTGGTAAAGACAGCAACGCCGACGGACAGAGTGTGTGTGCCTGTGTGTTGTCCACAGTTTTCCGGATACCCCAAGGATGAGGCCTGCCTGGAACAGTAGGTTAGGTAGGAGTTTCCCCCAGCACAACTCGTGCTTTTCTGAACTAGCTGCTTCTACAAGATGAAAAGCAACGTGTGTGTGTGAGAGACAGAGACAGAGAGAAAGAGAGAGATAGAGAAGCACTCTGTAGCCCAGGCTGTCCTGGAAGTCACCATGTAATAGCCTAGGCTGGCCTCGAATTCATGGAAACCCTCCTACTTCAGTCTCTCAGATGCTGAGATTACAGATGTGAGCTACCAAGCCTAGCTCAAAAGCAACATTAAAAAATAGGGACTGCCTCTGACATAAACTCAATGGCTGACTCTTTGATCACCTCCCCTAAGGGGGGGGGGGTGCAGCCTTACCAGGCTACAGAGGAAGAGAATGCGACCAGTCCGGATGAGATATGATAATCTAGGATCAGATGGGAGGAGGACCTCCCCTATCAGTGGACCGGGGGAGGAGCATGGGAGAAGATGAAGGAGGGAGAGTGGGATTGGGAGGGCATGAGGGAGGGGGCTACAGTTGGGATACAAGGTGAATAAACTGCAATTAATAAAAAAAAATTAATTAAAAAGTATCATTTCCCTCCTTAAACATATTTGTTAATAGAAAATACACAAGGTATTGAGAAGAGCAAGGACACATAGGATTCTCAGTCTATTACTTGTAACTTTGTATCTGGCTTTATATTAACTGGTAGCAGCGCTTAAATGCTTATTTACCTTTGTATTTTTCCTTCCTTAGAAAATTCAAGATTCTTTTTTAATTAAAGCTTAAACTATCACAATCTGAAAATAGCACCATTTTGAAGGCATCTCTGAGCGGAGGAAGATGATTCTACTGAAGATAAAATATGAATGACAAATGGCACAGGCATTACATCATCATCCAATGATTTCCTCTGCTCATGGAATTAGCGCCCTGGGAAGAAACTATGTCTTTCTCTGGGGACTTGATTGGCCGGCTCGCAGCTTTGAGCATGGAGAGACCCAATGACTTGAAAAACTGATTGAAAAACGAGTGTTTGGAAACAGTCTTAATCTACTCTTCACAGACTCGCATTTACCTAAAGAACTGAGTGCTATGCTGTGAGAGAGAAACATGGAGCTTCTCCTGGTTGGAGAACTGTGGGGTGTTCTCTGGAATCCGTTTTGTGGCAATGGAGGAAGGAGAACTGAGGGCACCTGCCTGGGGAAACGCTGTGTCCCACCTAACAGAGACCAGGGCAGCCATTTCCTCAGCCGCCACAGTGAAGATGCCAGCAAAGGCCCTCTTCAAGGAGCGGGGACCTTGGACAGAGCAGGGTGAACTTGAGCCAAACAACAGATATTAGTGGAGCCCCAGTTCTCTGCAGAAAACGTTGCCTCTCAAGACAGGATGTGCAAACTCTTTTTCTGGACTTTCTAGATTGAGGAGATATTCTTTACAAAGGGTCAGTCATGGCCCAGCACTGTGGTGCCAAGAATGACTTCCCAGCGTGTTGTGAGCCTGTGATTTCCTTAGTGTCAAACAACCTTTACTTCCCCCAGCCACCTGCAGCACACGGACCTTGTTAGAGTTAACGAGAACACACCTTCCTTCGTATTTGTCACTGCGAATAACTCCAAGATCCTTGCAGGAGAGATAATAATTGGATAAGAAACTTCTTTGAACTTCATTTCAATCCCTAAAAGAGAAGAATTATCATAAGTGGGAATGCTGGGCCTGGTGACCTATAATCCCAGTGGCTTAAGAGGCAGGCAACTCACTCATCTAGCCTCTGTACCAAAAATTTAAAAAGGGAAGGGGCTGAGGACAGCTCAGTAGTAGCGCGCTTGTCTAAAATGGGTGCTAACTCAGGTTCCATCATGGATGGAGGAGGAGGAGGAGGAGGAGGAGGAGGAGGAATACACCAGCTAGATTTCATTTTGCAAATAAAACTATGACCTAAAATTCCCTGAAGGGCTGGAGAGATGGCTCAGCAGTCAAGAGCACTGTCTGTTCTTCCAAAGGCCATGGTTCAATTCCCAGTACCCACACGGCAGCTTACCAACTGCCAGCTAACTCCAGATCCAGGGGATCCAACACCCTTCCACAGACATAAATAAAGGCAAAACAGCAATTCACATTAAATAAATAAATAAATAAAACCCGCTGAAATGAAACTATGGTGAAAGAAGCCCATTTCCCTTTTCAGTGGTCCTTAATCAGGCTGAGACTGGCAATCCATAGATTCCATCCTCTGTAACCCACTAAGGGAAAGGTCTGGTTTACTATTTATTGGTTCTAGGGCAAAAAAAAAAAAAAAAAAAAAAAGAAAAAAGAAATTCTTAACCTCCCCCAGTCTAATCCATTCGATAGTTGGGATGGAAGCCTAAAGCACAGCGTGAGTGGGGGAAGGTAGCTGGGCACCAAGCTGCCCACCAGCCCAGCACAAGGAAGACACCCCATGATCGGGTGAATCTGCTGTGTGAGCCAATGCTATGGCTTTCTCCACTTTGCTGGGTCTCAGGACAGAAAGGAGGAACTAGGTCTCACTACCCACCAAGAGAGGTGTTGCCTATCACGAGCGGAGCGCCGGGGTACTTCATTTTCAGTTCCAGAAGGTCTGTTAGGGTTCCCGGGGCAATCCAGGTAGTCCTCTCCCCGTGAAAAGTCAGAGTTCTGTTTTGGGGATCCTCTGCCATCCTCTGTAGTGTTTAAATTCAGACAATGATGATGTCAGTGACAAACTGCGCAGGTATGGATAACAAAACAAAGACAAGTATTTTATGCCTTAATTCATAATCCTATTAATTCATTTGAGTATTTCCCTCATCTCTTATAGATTTTTAAAAAAAGTGAAGTGGATTTTAATGAAGTCTTAAGTTAAAAACAAACAAGGCTCATATGTACATACAAGGACAAGAGCTGGGGTATCTTATGTCAAATTCACAGCCAAAGACCTACCTGTAGACTGGACTGCAAATGGTGATAGAATTATCAGCAGGTAGTCAAACACGTGTGGACTGCGGGCTACATGCTCTTGCCAGGCAGAGAAACATGCTACATATACCAGGAGGCAGGAGATCCAGGTTCTAATCCCAGCCAGGCTACTAAGTATCCATATCACTTCAGAAAAACTTTGGACCCTCTCTAACTTCTGGTTTGATGTGTGTAAAAATTAAAGATGATATATGAATGCCATTTGGCTCTCAGTGGCCACTGAAATATGGGGGAAAGCTGGGTGTCTTGCTGAATAGCTCCCCCACCTCCCCAAGCAACCACAAACCAGTTAAAAACATAGAAGGTCAAGCCCATTCTATGTTTATGGTTTCCTAAGCAAGACTCAGGGCTTCAAAGTGACCGGTGGTTCTTTCTCAGTTGTTAATGGGCAGAATTTCTTTAGGTTTTTCTCCCATCAATTCTTCTAAAACAAACGGCTATGATAGGTAGCAATACATTAACACGAACGAGTATCAAATACATATTCATGAGGGTAATTTCATGCTTAGTCAAGCAGACTTTTAATTTTACTTTTCTTCCCTCCTCTTCTCTAGTGGACCTTCTGTGCCCTCTGTTTGATATGCTCGTATTTTCTGTCTAAAGTCGTTCCCATCCTACTAAGTCAAATCACATTTGGCATTATTTTGCAGGGTGCAGGAAAGGATAAACAAACGTGGTAACTGCTCATCTGATTTTACCAAAGTAAAGAATGCAATGAGGGTCAAATCAGAGACATGGCCTGGTCAAAGTGACACAGGTGCTTAATGGGGAGCATGAATGAACCCCAGGGCACTGGGCTCCTTGCCTGGTGCCTTGTGAAACTGAAGTTGAGGACCTTTGGAAGAAGCTTCAACAGTCCCTGCCAGTTAATATTAAATGAGGCAACCATTTCTCCAGCAGGAATAGAATTGCTTAATTTGTTTCAAATGAACTTTGATGATATCCTTGCAATATTTTATGAAAACACTGTTGCTCTTTTGCAGGAGTGTTTATGGGGCAGATCTTTCAATATAATTTCCATGTCTTCATAGATCATCTCACTGAATAATTTTGTCACACAGAAATGCTGGCAAAAGGCTGCTGGAAGCAAGCTGTCACTAAAGGCAGATTGGTTAAACGAAGACTTCTTTATCGCTGTAAATGTTATATGTGTCTGCGTCGAGGGGGGAAAGATGATGGGCAGGAGGGTTTCTGGGAATGTGAGAAAACCCTGATTGCTAAATGTTTCATGTGCTCCCATGAGGCAGAAAGAACCAGCACTTCTCAGAGTAGAGCGCAGGCGCTTCTGGGAAGTCTCCCAGAACACATTTCAGGGGTTCCAAAGTCAAAACAATTTTGTAATATAATGAATACAATGATTGTGATTGCCTTCTTCCCTTCACATGGTCTCAGGAGTGAATAGTGGTGTGTTAAAACGCTCCTGTGGTGTGTTTGTATTCTCACACCTGTCCACAGCCTGCAGCCGTATGCAAACCCAACTTTTTCCCCTTAAGCCAGAGTTAAAGAGATGTGCAAAACCTCTGAACAGTGTCACTCCATTGTTTCTGAATTTTCTTTGGGGGAAAAATGTTTTTCATGAGTAATGTTTTATTTATCCTAAAAAGTTTACTCTTGGGGCTGGAAGGATGGCTCAGTGGTTTAGACCACTTGCTGCTCTTGCAAAGGGCAAGGGTTTGGTTCCCAGCACCCACATGGCGGCTCACAAGCATCCATCATTCCGAGTTCTAGAAGATCTGACGCCCTCTTCTGGCCCCTATGGGAACTGCATATATGTGGTGTACAGATACATATTTAGGCTAAATACCCTAAATGAGTGATTAAAATAGTTTCCATTTTAATTCACAGTACATTCATCAATAGCTATAACCTATGTAACAAAAACTCTTTGGGTTGTTAGCAATTTTTAAAGACGTAAGTGGCTTTAAACCAAACCAAATCAAAGTAATTTTTTTTTTTAAACCAAGAACTGTGCAGAGTGATGGTGCCTGGGCTTACAACCAAGGCAGCAAAAGGGCAAACCCACCACTGCAGAAAAATATTCCCTCAGTGACACTGTCAAAACTGGAAGGATGTGCTCAGGAACAAGCAGTTTGCTTTTTCTGCATCTGGACTTTCTAGCTTGGGGCCTGGTACCTGGGCCTCTGCTAACAGAAGCTTGTGAAAAAATACAAAGGAGTCAAAGGGACGCCTAGAGAAATGGTTTGAAACTATGTAAGGGAGGCATCTCAGTGCCCTGTACACATGGAGTCGTTGGCTACTGAAACAAAGAGCTCAGAGTTGCTCTTGCCTGCTCCTACTCTTATCCTGAATTCTCTATGGATATTTGTGGGTGTTGGGTACCAGAACATATGTGCCCTGGACATAGAGTAGGAGAAAGATCAGGGACAAGATGAGCCCTTTCATGAGCAAAGTCTGAAACAAATAAACAACAACAAAAAAAGAATGTATTTTCACAGCTCTGGAGGGCTACATAATACAAAATCACCCAGGGGAGCAAACAGGGGCAGAGGCACAACTGGGCATGACCTAATGAGACTACACAGTTCCTCCTGTCACAAGCATCATGAAACCAGATCACCAGGAGAACAAACCTTTAGTTCAGGTGGAAATATAAACTCCTGAGTTGCGTCTAAGGGCTGAAATTCTTCTTTTTTATACAACTTGGAGAAAGCCTAAAGAAGAAAAAAAAAATGTTTTAGTATTTGTGGCAAAGGCTGGTAAAGCACCATGGTTCTTAGCAGCCAAATATTGAATATTGATTTCTTGTTTGAAAAGTTGGACTGGGAACTGGGACATAAGAACAGTGACAGGAAAGGGCAGGAGAAGGTGGGAGAGGGGAGAGAGAGCAGGAGAGATAGGGGGAAGGGAGAGGGAGGGGAGGGAGAAGGAGGAGGAGGGAGAGGGAGAGAAAAAGAGGAGAAAGGAAGAGAGAGATGGGGAGAGGGAGGGGACGGAGAAGGAGGAGGAGAGGGAGAGAAAAAGAGAACAGAGGGAGGGGAAGAGGGGAAGGAGATAGAGGAGGAGGGGGAGGGAGATGCCAGGAGAGTGCAGAGAGAGTGGGAGGGGGCTAGAGAAAGAAGAGGACAAGAGAGGGCTGCAGAGAGTGGGAGAGGGAGGAGAGGCAAGAGAGAACTAAAGAAGACAGGAGGGGTTTAGGTGAAGAAGTAGAAGAAAGCAGGAAGCCGATTAAGAGCCCCGGGCCCCTGCTGATTGATTAGAACTTCGTAATTGTGGAGAGCTAGAATTTTGCAGAATCAGAACCAAATTTACTTTGGGCTTTTAGTCTTCTTATTAGTAATCTGAGGCTCATCTTCATGTCCTGTTGACTACTAGCTTAAATTTCTGAAGCTACAAATGTCAACTAAGATCCATAGCAGAAATGTCCCTGCTCAACTACCTAGTGTCCCTCCCGATAGGTCTCAGGAAGTGCATACGGCCAGAAAAGACAGTCTTGGCCCAGCTCAAGCTGGACTGTAGAGAGATTTCTGGTGATTAAATAAAAGCTAGCATTCTTCAGGAACTCTTAAGAGGGGTCATTTCCCTTGCCTCTAACGGGAGGGATATATACCTTCGGTTGCATGTCAAAACCCGATGGCCTCCAGGCTCCCACAGTCCCTATTCACAAGTACCAATTACCAAAGCTTCCATCCTGACCCTTCTGACCACAGTTCTGTTCTTTTTATAACAGCAAACTTTCCTCCTGCCCCGATATTCTCCCTTCTCTAGAAGATAGCCCTGGGTCCAATCTGCTTCTTTTTCTCCATGCTTTGGACTCTCACAAGTGCTTCTGAATATTTTCTCTCTCTTACCCAGAATAACTGCCCCCCCCATCATGTGGTGGCCATTTTGGTGGTTTCTTTGCTGATCCCCTCACATACTGCTACCAATGTACTTTGTGAATGCAACACTCAATGGCTTCCTTCCTTCCTTCCTTCCTTCCTTCCTTCCTTCCTTCCTTCCTTCCTTTCTTCCTCTCTAGCTTTGCTTCTTTTGGAGACAGGCTTTCTCTACATATCCCTGACTGTCCTGGAATTCACTGTGTAGACCAGGCTGGCCTTGATCTCACAGAGATCCACCTGTCTCTATTTCCCAAGTGCTAGGATTAAAGGCACATAACACCATACCTGGTCTGATTTTTTTTTTAATGCAACTATAGAATTCATGTAACTTTTTCCATGGTAGAACCTGTCATTCAGAACAACATGAATCTGCATTCCCAGACCATGACCACTGTTATGGGTTATAAATATTTATTATTGAGTTATCTTTTAGTAAAGCAGTGGTTAGTCCTAAACAAGCTGTATACCCAAATCACCACACAGAGACTGGGATTTATTTAATTAACCTAGAGCACAATGCTGGGCAATAGTTACTCCATTCTAAACCTCCAAGCCCACATAGTTTCCTACCATTCAGATTCACCCATTATCCATTATACTTGCTTTAGTGATATCTTAGGTCTGGTTCATTTCTCCACGTGGTCCCAAGACCTCTCCTGCAGATTCTCCTCCTCTTTCCCCTCCTGCTTCCTTCCTCCCCCTCCCACTCTGGACCAGAATATCTCCCTCATCGTCTCCATTGCTCAGCATTGTGGCTGGTTGTTTTATTGACAATGTAGAGAACAAATGGTGGCATGTTTACACAAACTTGAGACAGGTGATGCTTAGAATAAACATCACAATGCAATGTCCAGATTGAAACCAGATAGTGGGGGAGAGAAATCAGCATTTGAATGAACAAGGTAAATTGTACACATTCCAAAAGAACGTTATACCATCAGACCACTCATACTGGACTCAGAATAAGCTGTCTCTTATCTCCCTGTGGAGCAGGGGCTGTGTTTTGCATTTACAAGGAGTTGTAGAGATAAGGTTGTCCCACTGTAAGCTACTCTATAGTGTGTAGGCCAGTGGCTTTCAGGCTGTGCCTTGCCCCAAGTGACCCCATTTTAAGTGCAAGATGATACTGTATCTTGTTTGTGCCTGCAGACACCACCACCTGCCCAGCAACAACCCAGGAGGCACAGTCTGATAACCTATTCAGGCAAGACAAAATGCCACTTGGGGAAGAGTGAGAGCACATAACATATTAAAACCATGTCAGAAAAATCAGGCCCAAGAAGTCATCAAACACACTAGACCAGCAAAGAACACACCCCTCAGCGAGGTCACCTAAAATGATGACTCTGACACTGTCATTGAGAACCACACGAGTCTGTTACTTGACCATCTAGAATACGTGTGTTGAGAGACTGACATGCAGAGCACTCTTGATTGTCCGCAGAGCTCCGGTTCAGCACAGTCCTCACTGTTCGACCAGCCCTCTCCTTGGATTGCCAAGCTGGCAGCCAGTCCCTCCGCCTGGTCTCTACTTAACTTGACCCTGGCTCGGCTCTGCCTCCAGCTGCTTTTTAATTGAGTTCTTAACAACTTACCTAACTACCTGCAATGGCTTGATGCATCTACATTAGCTGCTGCCTTCAATAAAACCCACCCTCCCAAGTCTGGAGCCTTTTTAATTAACCCCTTTGTAGCCATTCTGTAACATGCATTTCTTACTGTGTGGAATATGTGATTGAGAGTCAACATGAATAGTTAAGATTGGAATAAAAGAAGCTGCTGTTGCCAAGAGTCACACAACCAAGAGAAACTTGGGATTATTTTTGTAAGTAGCAGCCAACGAAGGGAGCTGACATCCTGAAGTGTGCCCTTATTTATATTTTACTGATATGGGAAGCACCAAACGTGGCTTCAAGAAGCCCATTCCCACCTACCCTCGGTCTACCAATCACTGAGTCCCTGATCCAGCCCTCTCTCATCAGGTCCCTCCATAGGGGCCAAGGAGATTGCATAGTGGGAACGGTCCCCTGACAGCCAGCAGCCACAGGCTTTGGCACCATACCTCAGGATTCTTCTACCCAGAAGTCCCAAAGACTCCTCCAGAACCCACATAGGCTTCTGCTCTATTCCTTGCTCGTCAAGAGGAGAGATGCCTTCATAGTGGCCAAGGGAAAGTGACTGGGGAGCAGGTATAATTTGGGAGCAGGGGTTGGGTGTGCAAGCTGTAACGCCAGTGGTGTGGGACAGAGCTGGGCACAGAGGAGAACCCAGCTCGCCACCTCAGTGCTCCTGCTTTGGGCCTCCAGACGCCAGTGGCAGGCCTGATCCGTGTCACCACATGCAGGGCTGTTTGGTGGCTGTCAGGTGAAAGGCCCACATTACCTCTCCAATGTCTCCTTCTCCCTTCTCTCTAGACTAGAAATCAAGCGCACCTGACTGTGTTTTTAATGTAACGACTACGATATCCTTTTTTTTTGTTTGTTTAAACATTGTGTGTGTGTGAGTGTGCGAGTGTGTGCGTGCGTGTGCAACTGCCATAAAATCCTGTTGAACTGCTGAAAAGTCTGCAGAAACGAAATAGCAAGGTGCAGAAGTAGCTATTATTATGCGTATTTCCGCTCCTAATTCCACTTGGCGTATAGGTACTTTTACTGCATAAGCTGATCATTTTTAATAATGTCAAATTCTCAATTTTAAATTGCTTCGCTTAAAAAAAATCATCTTTATTCTTAACTTCTTTAAAGGTTACAGAAAAGATTCCAGGTTAGTATAAGTTCCAGTGTAGTGGTCACTTTAGGCTATTTCGTGATCCCCACTTGCTAGACATCTGGGTTGGCTCTAATTCTTGTTGTAGATAACACTATGGCACATATCTTCTTTTCCATAATAACTATTTAACCTACCTCTAACTGTTTTTCTGGAGTGGATTCCTGGCAGTGAAACTGCTCAGTCAGAAAGTATGAAAATAGAAATCCGATGCCCTCAACACACAAACTCCATTGCTGGCTACCGTTGGCTAAAGGAGTAATTCTGGCTGGACTTCGGTCATTAGGAAAACCAAACATTTAATAAGTAACTGCTGTGCGTTTGTCATTCAACTTGGGTCTTATGAGCAAATATACTCCACTTCAAACTTCCTTCAGTGATTATTCAGTTATGTTGGAGGAAGTCACCAAGCCAAGGTTGAGGCAGCCTTCCTTTCCAAAGACAGCCCCCACATTTGTGCCCCCACATTTTCACTATTCACTGCAGCCAAGTTCCAAGGACTCCTTTCTCCAGGGTGAACTTCTTTTGGCAGTGACCAAAGGTCAAGGGAAAGAAAGAGGTGGAAAGGCAGCTGTTTTAGATGCTCTGCTCTTTCCCCGGCACACAAAAACCTCTCACTCACATGGGTGGGGTGCACTGAGGCCAAATATAAGATGGTAGAGGGAAGTGAGGGAAGGAAAGGGAAACTCACACTGGTTTTGCCCTCTGGCTCATTCTTTTCTTCATCCAAGCAACATTTCTCTTTCCCATACATCAAGCAGCAGGATGAACTCTATGGAAAACATGAATGGTGAGATCAGAGAGGCACAGGCTTGTAAGAATGCAGAGGAGGTGAGGAAGGTCATAATGATTGTATGGGGAGCTTTCAGTCTGCATTCCTCCAGAACTCAGACCGCCCGCGATTGGGTTAGAAGGGGTTTTCACCCAAGACTGGACCAATGCCGCTACAGCCAGGGAAGACACATTTTTAAAGGACAAGCTTAAGATCCCTTTTGCTTCCCTTTTACCCTCAAATCTCGTCCACCATTGCAGTGCCTTCTGCCAAGTTATAATACAGCAAGAGAGTCCTTGCTAGATGGACACCTTGATGGTGAATGTCCTAGCTTACAGAACTGTGGCCCAGTAGATTACTATTCATCAGATTTCGTCCAGTGTGTAGCATTCTGTTACAGTGACATAAAACGCACTGTGACACAGCAGTGGTGGAAGGGGTAGACTATGTTAGCTGTCCTTTAGATATGGCTGAGCAAAGAGTGTGTGCTCTGCATGATGTTTTGTGCTTTCATTATCTTAGTCATGACTCCACATCACAGACGAGGAAACAAGGGCTTAGAAAAGTTCGGTAACTTATCAAATTATGTGGCTAGAAGACTGTGGAATCTGAACTTGAGGCCATGCATTCTGACATGAAGTTGGTTTATGCTCGTTCCAAATAACTGTATTTTCTCCAATTATCCTGGTTGTCTATCTTTGTCTAGGTTTTGTACTCCTTGCTTCCCATGTGTTATAAAGCCTTTAATCTTCCAATAGCCTCTCCAGAGAGAAGAGTGGGAGGCAGGTCATCCAAGGGAGGAGTGAGAGACCTGGAGAACCTGGAGCTTCTGAAATCAGGAGGATATCCTCTGGGTTGTCACCAAGTTGCAAGGACTGGATTCCACTGACAAATCCTTCTTATTGCTGAACCTGTGACCATTCCTGAATAGCCTTAGAAGGGGGCCAAGTGGCAGAAAGATCCTATGAGACACTGATTTCAACTTGCAGCCCACCAACCTAGCTCAGTGGATGGATGGGTCTGGGGGGCAAAGAGCTGGAGAACTTTTTTAAAAAGATGAGACAAGGTCTTACTTGTAGTTTACATCATCACTGAACTCGCTGTGCAGCTCAGACTGGTCTTGAGCTGGCAGTTATCCTGCCTTAGCCCATCTCTTGAGTTCTGGGTTTGCACCTGTATGCCACCATGCAGTTATTAGAACTTCTGGGGGCTGGTGAGATGGCTCAGTGGTCGAATGTGCTTTCTGGGCAACCCAGGCAACCTGAATGAAATCCCTGGAACTGGACTAAAGGTGGGAAGAGAGAATCAACCTAATAAATTGCTCTCTGACCTCCACACACATGCTCTACACATGTACTCACACACCATGTAAATTTAAAGCATTTAAACCTCTGAGCCAGAGAATTGATGAACCTTTGCGTTGGTGAAGCATCCCTGGGCTGGGGGTATGGTAGGCCTCAAATACACTGACAAGGAGCCCTTCCTAGATGGTCCCCAATGTGCCAACTCATCTAGCTATTCACCTGTCCCCTTTATAAAAGATTTTATAATAACTCAGCAAGCACGGGCAGTGTTTCCCGAGTTATGCTGACTGTCCTGGCATATTATTGAAGCTGAGGAGGTGAGGGTATAGGAACTACTGAGTTTCAGTTAGCGCATCAGAAACACCAAAGGCCCAGACTGGCATTTGCTAAGTCAGTCTTGTGACCCCCTCCCTTGGAGTACTAGTGTCAGAACTAATTAGGTTAAAGCACAGAACACCCTGTGACTGTCTAGAGAACTGGAAGGTTGCTCAGTGTGGAAAACCCCACACATCTGCAGCAGGATTGGCCCACGGGGGTAGCGTTTGCTGCAGAGAGAATCTGAATCCAGTGCTTTGTGAATGTTGCAGGTCCCGCTTTCCATCGACTCCACTTAATGTGAATGATGGAAGCCGCTTCTGCTCTCTTCCCCATCCCCCATCGGTATGAATCTCAGGCTGGAGTCACATTCAGAGGAAAGAGAGGCATTCACCTGATGGAAACATTTCGCTCCGGCTATGTCTCAACCAAAAGTGCAGTGGAAGTGACAGTTTGAGAAACAGACTTTTATCAGTTTTTCTTTATCATGAAGCAAGATGTTAGAATGGCCTAATCCATTTTCACTAAGAATATGCCATTTCCAAACTTCACCTTCAGGAAAGAGCTATTATTGTGCTACCTGTCTGTATTTCTGGGGGGAAAAAATGCCCAGTTATGCTTACTGAGATGAGCAAAACCAGAAAATCATTTTTCTTTTAAACACACTATTGTTCTTTCCTTGAAACCCATCAGGTGTGTGTGTGTGTGTGAGGAGGGTGGTTCAAGAGGAGGCTATGTAGGGTGAGCATGATGGTGGCTCAGCAGCCATCAGTCATTTTCACACTCACGGGGCTGAAACTTTTCACGCTCTCCACAATGGGTCTGTATCCAGTGCAGCGGCATAAATTACCTGGGTGAACAAAAGACACAGTTTCAACTCCCAGGCTGCTTCTCTGGCCTTGCTGTATCTCTCTCACTTCTACCAAGTCTCTCTTCCGCCATACCACCTCCCCTGCCAAGCATTCAAGAATCTTGGAAGTCGTTCTGGGTGTCACGGGGTTATCCGGAGTTGCTGTTTGTGGGCTACACTTTTAAAGGAGGTGCAGGACAGAGGCGTAGTGAAAAGAAAGGACACAACCAGAGAAAACCACCATGAGGGGCACAGCTCATGTGCCAGAGAGGTACCTAGCGTGTGAGCGCGCACTGCTTGGTTCCACACCACTTTTCGGGGTATTTGCAGAGAGAGAGAGTAAACACAGGGGCTCATTGCCGAAAAGAGAGTTGGTATAACAAAGAAACGCCACCTTCTAGGAGGCTTAGCCCCCTTAGAGAAGATGTGAGTTCCCTAAATCCAGGGTTCTTCCATGTAATGTAACCAGTCACATGTGCTGCTGTTACTGCCTCCCTCCAAATTGCCTGAAATCTGGGCCTCAGGGACGCCTCCCTGGACGCAGCTGCTCCAGCCTTACATGTTCTGTGAGTCCTCGACACAGCGAGGGATCTCATGTCTCGGCCAACATCAACAACAGTGGTGGGGTGGCTCATTGGCTGGCAAGCTGGGTGGGATCACAGAGCTTTGCAAGACTTGAGGATCAGCAGATGGCGTTAACATATCCCACACCACCAGGGACTTACCCGGACACAGAGTGTTCATCTCACACAAAGACTGGGAAAGGCCGGTCTGAAGGCCCACACCGCATCAGGATGTCCCTGTACAGTCAGTACTCCTGAGTCTCCTTAGGCCACTGGCTTTCACTGTTATCAGTAAGCTCATAGGCGCAGACCATGATGGCATTTCTGTTCTGTTCTGTACTTTGACAAGATTTGCACCGACTCCTTTATTAGAACAAATCTGCACTGGAAATCCTCATGGACTGATTCTCCTAAGGCTGAGACCCGCAGGTGCCCTGCATGTCACACAGCAGGCAGTTGTTGCTGCTTACAGAAGGGCACGGAACTAAATCAGAAGAAAGATGACTCGAAACATGTATAAATTTCACTCAGATGAGTGAAGCCAAAGTGGGTACTAAGAATGCCAGGGAAAACAATAATGGTAAATGGAGTCTTGTAATTTTTTGAGAGAAAAATAATTAAAAAAAAATAGACTTGTAAACGAATTCAGACAAGGTGGTAAAGGCATGGATTCAACATCAGTCACCAAGGTTCAAATCCAGACTCCTCCCCTCACTAGGTTTAAGATCTTGGGCAGTAACTTTAGCAATTTGAACATCAAGTTCCACCACTCCCCCTTTTTTCATAATTAGCATGTGGTCCTTATCCTAGGATAGTGTATAAATATAGATAGTACATAGTGTACAGAAAGTATTCAAGAAGCTCACTGTTCTGTCAGACTCTAGATGTCAGAGCACAGACTATTAGCCTACAGAAGACAATTTTCAGTTTTGGTGCAAAGAACTTTTGAGGTCTAGCAGGAACCTTTCATATCTGGAGAGAGGAACTCAGTAAAACATGTGGCGATGCTACAAAATAACTAACAGAGGAAGCAGGGGCCCTAGGATTATCAAGCGCCTGTTTGAGTGGAAATGTAAGAAGGTCACAGAATATTGGGGTACTAAGACCACCTGGGTGAGACCTGGAGCAGAGACTCGGGCCTGTTCTGTACCGCAGGCTCCACACGCTGCCTCCTGAAAGCTGCCATCCTGATTTCCTGCCCCTTTTCCTCACTTGCTCTTTTAACTCGATTCTCTGATTCTTAGCTGCCTGCAGCTTTGGAAATCTGCTGGTAATTTCTCAGTTTTCAGCAAAAAGCTGAGACTTCTTTCTTGGGGAGCCCCTCTTCCCCTTTGACTCAAGGCTCTGCCAGAACATCTTTGAGCATCTGCTGCAGCCCTCATGCGGAAACCCTTCCTACCAGTTGGGCCAACATCTCCTGCTGGATGGGGTGGACAACACGGGTCACGTGGCCCAGTACAAGGGATGGACAGAGCACCTTTTGGAGAAGTTGGAACACAGGAAGCCGCAGCTGAGTAAGCATCCTTTAGTGACCGAAGGTTGGGAGGTTCTACCTCTGCTAAAAGGGGGCATCGGGATAAAGACTTCTTGACAGTCATAGGAGTCAGTGGAACCAGTGTCAGGCAAGACTGCCAAGCTAACCATAAGGCTATAATATGACAATGGCAGGTGTTGGGAACAGGGTCTCTGAAGATGAAGGGTGCTTGCTGTTCTTCAGGGCAGTAGTTGTGAAAGGCTATTTTAAAAAATACAGCACAGTGCCAGAGTCTCCCCACTTGTCAGAAAAAAAACAGATGGAAGGCTAGCACAAAAGCAGAGGAAGCGCTTTACTATGGGATATGGAGGATGTAATTGGATGTGACAAGAAATGAGGGAAGAGGGCGGCGAGCAGGTTGCTTTCTGATCAGCAAAACCAGAATTGAGATAAGAAATGCTGAAAGCCGTAAGGCGAAGCAGAAAATGAAGTGTGGCACAGAGCAGTGTCAGGTTGACTTAACATGAGACTGAGATCGGTTTGGGAGAAAAATATTATCAACAACATCACATCAAAAAGAGGAAACACACTCTGTGCTCAGCGAAGACAAAGTAATGTTTGGAGACATTGGAGAGAAGGCACAGGCGCCTCCTTCTTATAATCACTCACACATTTCTCACAACAGGAGTACCTGGTAACTAAGCATCAGTTGAACCTTGTTCAAAAAGCCTTGAAATCCAAAATACATGGAGATTTAAGGGAACTTGCAGTCCCTTTAAATTCGTTCAGGATGTCAGGTGAATCAAGTGAATTGTGTCTCATGGCAAGGCAAGCTTGTGAAACTGTGAGCACCGATCTTTGTGAGATGTAACAATAAACTAAAATAGTTCTAGAACACTGGAGACAGGCAACCGTGGAGATTTTTTTTGTTGTTGTTGTTTTTAAAGATGGGTATTAGGTGAGGTTGACTCTAGGCTCATTCTCTAGATCTGTTCTGAAAGGGGTTATGTGTGATGGCAAAGCCTGGGAACAGCGGCCTCTAAGAGGAGACTAGGGACTTGAGAAAGCTAACCTTCCCTTTGAGGATAAGAACTCCAGGGTGGCCCTGTTTACAGACACAGCGCCTGCAGTTTCCACAGGACATCTGACAAGCTTGGGCTCCTCTGTAGCAAGAACAGAAAATGTGAATGCACAAGGCACAATTACACAACAGTTCAGTGTTAATGATGTTGATTAATTTTCCCACAGAGCTCCGCTTGGCTTATCCTGTTCAATAGTTTAGTCCATGACTTGCATATTGACAGAAGACAATGTGCACCAGATTTGTAAAAATAGAGAAGCTAAAAGGTGTCTTGACAGGACGAGATATACATATAAGACTTCAGAAGAATAAAATTTTCCCAAAGGACAAAGAAGGAGAATTACACTTTGAAATCTCAAGACACTTCAATGACATGTGTGTTTATGAATCGATGCATTTTTCTCCTCAGTTCCTAAGAGTCCATGATTTCATGAGCATCGGCTATATTCAAATAACAAGTGTGACAGCCAGGCAGCCTCAGCAAGAAACAGAAACAAACCACAAGGCTGCTGCTCGTTTAGGCTAGCTCCAACTGCACAATTAAAACATCTCAAAGCCTTTGTATTTCCAACAGCACTCAATAGCATTGAGATTCCATCAGTGATGCCCACCCAGTGGCTATTTCAGCTGGCACACGGCATGCTGTGACATAGTGCACTAAAGTCACAAGATGATATATTGCCAAGGATGTAACAGTAACACGGAGAATGCGCTTGCCTCTCTCCTGGTTGCCTCAGTCTGCCCTCCTGCTCAGTGTGGACGAAGAGCCTTTTTCAACACTGATTAAGAGGCGTAGATTATAAGGATCCATTGACAAAGCCTGTTTCAAGTGCTTCTGCTTCTGTGCAAATGCTCTAACCTCCCTGCTGCCTGCTGCCCTCATCACCCCACATCTTAAGACGTCGACGGGCCGCTTACCGCCCAAGCTTTCCATGATCTGTTCTGTGGACGGCTCTGGGTGGTTCCTCAGGAGCGTGTAGATGCTCATCACCATGCCTGGCATGCAGAACCCGCACTGGGTACCATGGCTTTTGGCAATCCTCTCCTAAAAGGGAAGAGCGTGAGTTCTCCAGGCTGAGGATTCCAGGGCGCGAAGTCCTCAGAAATGAAATGAGGTTCTCTGTTTGGACCAGCGACAGGCAGATTCGGGGCTGTCACACAGCAACCAATAATGCTGTGATCGTTCACAGGTACAATGCCTGGGGAAGCTTTCGGAGGAGGGGGATTCCACTGAAGTAGCCGGGAAAAGGAGTTCTGGATGTCAACCCCATGCCTTACGTCAAGGCACAGTCTAAAGACACCAAGGCCACGGGCATCGGGCAGACTTACTTTTATCTTATCTCTTCCTCATTCTACCGCCATGCAGGCAACCTCCTACCCTCATCCATGCAAAATAATGTAAACTGGAGATTCATTGTCAAGGTCTATCTCTGTGAAAGGAAACCCATGTTTGCGACCTCTTGCCTTGGTTTAGCTTTGGCGATTACCTGAACTTTTGTCACACTTGGATATTTTTACTAAGAAATAGTTAGTACATGAATTAAAGGCTCCTACAACTGCTTGGCCCCGAGACTGACACACCCAGCTATGTGCGCTTGACCGGAGGGTTTCTTAGAGGCAGAAGGACGGTAGGCTTGAGACGCGGTGGCCTATTTACCATCTCTCGAAAATAAATCATTCACTGTGTGTGAGATTAATGTTACGTGCCATCCTCACTTGCCCACCACCTTATTATTTGAGTCAGGGTTTCTCACTGAATCCAGACCTCCTGAATTTAGCTAGAGTATTAGGCCAGCAAGCTCCTGGGATCTTTCTGTCTCCGTGTCCTTAGTGCTGGGATTACAGGCAAATGCCATTGTGCCTAGCTTTTTACATAAGTGCTGGGACTAGAACACAGGTCCTCACACTCATGAGGCAAACTCTTTATTGGCTGAACCATAATGTTTCTGGATAGAATTAAAAGTATGGCTCGCTATTCATGTAACCAACACGGAATATACGTCCCAGTTTCTCTCATTTTTCTCGCAATGAATGTGAGTTGTTTCCTTTGTAGTCTTTGTGCTAAAACCGAAGTATTCCTGGAAAGAGGGGAGTGGGGGTGGAGGGCAGCTGAGATTGTGAGAGGGAGGAAGCCACTTGGTCTGCCAGCTACTTTCTTCAGGCTCCCCTTCACACTTGTACAGAAGCAAAAGAAACTCCAAGTGGCAATAAAGAAAGCCTCAGAAGGAAGAAGAAGAAGAAGAGGAAGAAGGAGGAGGGGGGGGAGGAGGAGGAGGAGGAGGAGGAGGAGGAGGAGGAGGAGGAGGAGGAAGAAGAAGAAGAAGAAGAAGAAGAAGAAGAAGAAGAAGAAGAAGA